TTCGAATTCCCTAACTATTGCTTATTTGCTTGTATGCCTAATTTGGCACTTTGTTAGATATTCCATCTCAGTAGCATTAAAATCAAGTGCCATTTTAAAATTTCATATTCTCTTACTATAATAAAACAATTTGTACCTAGTTTGATCCTCTAAGGCTTTAACTATAGTAAACCAAAAAATTAGATATTCTAAAATATTTATACTTATATACCATTTACTATTGACTAGTCTAGTCTTTAATGGAGGTCCATTCATGTTGATCTTATCAAATTAACTCGAATATTGACTAATATAGTCTTTGTTATATGTCCAACTGTAACTTTCATATTACATTTTTTAAAATATTTTTTTGTAGAAAAATGAGTAATTCTAAGTAATTAGTCAAATTGACTTTGCATGGAAAGATTATATAAATGATTTTTTTTTGAAACACTAATGATGATTTTTACAAGGTAGTATATGCTCTATATTTTTCTCACTTTTTTCAGGCAAAAAAATCAATGCCCCTACCCTAGTTTGATCTCGTTGACCACTCATTTAGAATGATAACATGGGTGTCATCACACTACATAGTAGTTGGCAGTATAATATAAATGAAATTAAATTAATTACAAGTAGAATTTTGGTTTTATTTCTAAAATACAAAGCAGTATTTTTTTTTTTTGAGTATTTAATTTTTCTTAGTTAACACAGTTTGAGCTAATCATGGTTTGATCCCTTCACTATTATTGTTTGTCCTATTTTTTCATTAAATTTAAAAATTATCCATTAATTAGCCTACTCTTTGTTGTAGGTTGAATGGTAGTTTTCATGTTAAATTTTGGAAAGATTATGTTTTAGAAAATTGTGTAGTTTAGAGTAATTAGTAAAGTTGATTTCACCGACAGAATAATTGAAATTAGATCAATTCCAAGTAGAATTATATTTGTTATTGCTATAATACAGAATTACAGAGAGTATTTAATTTTTATCATTCAATAAAGTTTGAGCTAATCTCGATTTGGTCCAAATTTATCTTTGGCTTCAAAAGTTATATATTTAACACCCCCACGGCCCCACCCCCCAAAACTATTGTTTTTATTCCTAATTTAGTCGTCTCTTAGATATTCTATCTCAACAATGTTAAAATCAATGGTGTTCATAGAATGTCATATTCCCTGACTATAGTAAAACAATTTGTAGCCAATTTGCACCTCTAACTATAGTAGACCATAATATTAGACATTAAAAACTTATTTTCTGTCATTGACTAGCCTAGTCTTTGTTGTAGGTCCAATTATATCGTTCTTATCAAATTAACTATATCATATATATTGACTTGCATAGTCTTTCTCATATGTATAACTACAACTTTCATATTAAATTTACTGAAAATTATTTTTCTATAATTGTGTAGTTCTGAGTAATTAGTTAAGTTGACTTCACGTAAAAAAAACATAATAATTGAAATTGGATTAATTCTAAAAGAATTATATGTACTACTTTGTAATAAAGTCAATAGTACTCAAAAAAAGAAGAATTATATGTTTGTTGTTATAATAATACAAAGTATTATGTATTTTCTGAATATATTTTTATTGTTAACAAAGTTTGAGCTAAATTACAATTTACATTAACAATTCAAAATGTAGAAACATTCATTCACTACTCAATAATGTTTTGATTTAAACTTGAAAGGTTTTTGTTTAATAATGCTAAATTTCCCTATTGAACTTTCCTCCTAATATAATGTAACAATTAAACTCTTTTTTAGTGGTAAGAAAAACTTGTAATGACTACGCACTTGTATAATAGTCTACAAACTACACAAGAGATGTTTGCGATGAGTTCGACTGAAAGAGTTTTTACAAAAATTAAACTCGTGACCATTAAGTTCAATAATCATGTTTCACCCACTCGACCACCACTTTTAAGACAACAATAAAACTCTTTTTTTTTTTTTTTTTTTTTAAGGAACAATAAAACTCTTTATATTCATTGGTTGTTCAATCAATTGCAATACTGATGATAATGATTTTGAAACGAAATAAAGGATTTCACATTCACAACACATAAAAATACAACTCTGAAGAAGGAAAAAGGCAATGGGGATTTTTTTTTTTTTTCCTTTTTTTCTTTTCTTTGGTTGCAGATAAAAATAACTTTAAACGATTACACATGAAATTCAATATATGCTTTTTGAGAGCCACAATTGAATAAAAAATTGAGAATATACTATTTGTACTAAATATTTTATTAAATGATGTAACATGTGATAAGTGTTATAAGTCTTCCGATTAGGGTCACAAAGAGAGCTTTACTCAAAACGCACAGTGGATAGCGGCTGCATATTTTCCTCTAAATCAAAGTAACTCTTCATATTTATGAGAAAGGATTAAATATACGAGTTGTCACATTTTATCACTTTGATCATTGAATAACATGTCAATTCATTTAGTGACTTTTTAATTAAGGCAAGAGAGGAAATGTGATAGTTCATTGTGAGGTTCCAATTCACTAGAAATCAAATATAATGACCACAAAAATAAGAATGGTGTATTATTAAATGGATGTGAGGTATAAATTAAATTGTAACATGGTATCTCAATGATGTATATCTTAATAAGACATTTGGTTTAGGCATATTCTGCCATTTTGCCTAAAAAGAGAATAATAATTATTTGGACAAACGTTATGTATTAATTATATTATTATTTTAAAACGTCTAATGTATAGTTTACTATAGTCAGAGGACCAAATTCAGTATAAATTTGGATTACTATGTTAAGACAATATGAAACTTCAATAATACTTTTGATTTTAATACTATCAAGATAAAGAGGTTAATGTAACTAAATCGGAAAGAACTTAAGTTGTTAACCATGAGATTAAAAGTTCAAAACTCACTTAAACAAAATAATATTATTAAGATAGGACTTAAATATGTCACTTTTAAAGTCCAATGATGTAATTGGACAAATATGAATAGTTGAGAGATCAAATAAGCAATTAACTGTTTTTTTTTTTTTAATAAGGAATTAACTTCAAATCTTTATTTATTTATTCTTATCATATATATATGAATCCTCTATTTTTATTTTCAATATTTTTTTCTTTAATTCTTACGTGTTGTAGTCTAAAATACATGGCTGCCAATGTAGTAGCCAAGAAGAGATTTGTCACATTTTGGATTACAAATTTGAAGAATATTCCTTTGAATAATCTGAATATTGAATTGAAGAAAAAATTATTAAATCTTTATTTATTTATATAAAATTTTTGTTATGCTAAATGCTAAAAGTACCGATAAATGCTATACATCCGCCTGGAACCAATTCATAAAGGGCAACCCAGTAAATTTAAATAGCCTCTATATCAAATTAATTTTTTTTTCAAAATTTCCTTTCCATCTAAAATTACTTTTTTCTTTTCCATCTAAAATCACTTAAATATAAAACTTATATAAATTATAATTTTATATAAATTATAATTTTAAGGATTTTTAAATTTATTTTTTATTCTCCTTGCTGAAAGGAAATTGCACAAATTTAGAACAAAGATTCAAGAAATTTTTTTAGGCATCATACATGACATCATCGTTGATATATTTTATATTTAATAAAGTTATATTTTCCTCAGCAGTTGAATATATGATATAATTTTATTAAGTATATATCCATGTTATATACTTATATATACCATAAAAATTCTTAAAGTCTTTTTTTCTTTTTTTTTTTTTTAACTTAATGTTTATCGAATTTACTAGAATTGGGAATTTGAATTCACTAACCATGAAGAATGATTGTAGATTAAAAGCAGTCAAATTTATAGTAAAGAAACACATATAAAAGCTCACACAAGCTTAACTCATTGATTCAGCAGGTAGTATTTGAGAGAAGAAACAGAGATAAAAGTAGTGTTATTGACCAAAAGTGGTATTACTCCTTAAATATTACATTAATGCGCAATTTGAAAAGATTAAAAAAGAATAAGAGAAATTAAAAGAAAAAATGTTCACAACATTATAAGTACTAAAAATATAAATAAACGATAAAATATCTAAATTTAAAAAAAAATTATTAAAATTAAATTAATAGATTTAAACTTATAGAGAATTTTTACCATGTCAACCTGTATAGGTTTCTCTTGCACTAGATGCAACTCAAAAGTGAATGAAAAAAATATTTTGAATTTGTATGGAATACGTGAATGTGTTGTTACCTGATGGATATATTGAAGATTGACCCAAAACAAATCGACTCAGGTTCCCGAGGTGGAGCCCCGCGTTTGATACCAGGCCACCTAGGCCGAGCCCATGCTCGCCCTAGGCCTCGGCTTAGGTCATAGGGCGTGCCTGGCCTAGGCCACAACCAACGATTCTAGGCAGGGACCAGCCACAAGGCCGAGCGTAGTCCAAGTAGTTGCAACTAATCCTTTAGGGGGACGGTTATAAGGTATTTAGTATAAATATTAAATAACAACATACTTGTCTTGTTAAGACATCAGATTGATTGTAATAACATTACACAAACATCAGTACAATCTTTATCTCTGTGTCATACATTTCTTGTCTATATAACTTGTTATTTACTATATTCATTCGTTTATTTATTTGTTCCTTAACTAATTGGGTTATTATTTGTTCCTTAACTAACTGGGTTATTAAAAACGGACCACCCGATCAATTTAATCAATCATTGCTTGGTATAAATTTAAAGTTTTTTTGCACCCAACGTAAAAAGTGCCAATCGGGTTAGGTACACTTTCCTTAAAATTATAATTTTGCATAGTATTGTTTTTTGAAGCTTGACACCAAAATTAATTTGGGCATTGCAAAGAAAAAGTAAAAACTAGATTAAGGGTCAAACATGGCTAGGTTGTTTCAAATAAACACGATTAAAATTTGCTGACAAGTCATATAGTTTATTAATTTTATTATTAATGAATATAGAAAACCCAAAATTAAATAAAGAAATGAAAGAAATGAAAGGGACGCAACCGTTGCTTTACGGCTATATAAACCCACGGAATGCATCATCTTCCTTCCCCCCTCCTTCACCTCTTTCAATCCCTGTATAGAGCAAATTATCACTCCAATCTTAATCTTGATCTTGATTCTGGGTATGTGTTTTTGCTCTTCTGGGTTTCGCGATTTCTCTCTACATTTCCGTTTTCTTTTTCCTTAAATTTCTGTTCTTGCCCAATACCCAGAGTGAAAGCTTAATAGAAATTTTGGGATGTTAATGGGGTTTATGTTTTTGTCAAATTTAACGTTATATTTTTGTGGGTATGCCTGATATTGGCTCCCAAATTTTCATGCCTGAAAAGTGTCTCTTTTTCTCCTTTAAATTTGCTTTGTGCTCCGTTGTTTGAGCTCTTCCGTGATTCCGGACGGTTTTTATGTTAAAGTCCATTGCTTTTCTTGATTTTTCATGTTATTATGCTGGAATATGCAATACAATATTTGAACGCAGAATAATGTTTTTAGCAGATTATTTATTTGTTTTGGGTAATATTTGAGTTCTGCATTAGCAGGGGAAGCTGTTTTCTGGGCAAAGTGTTAAATTCATATATTGTATGTGTTCTTATGTAATTTTGGGTTGTGAATGTACAATTCTCTAGTCTTAAAGTTCCAGACTTTTTTTTTAATGGATTTCTTGAAAGCAAAGAAGCTTTTGATCGTTTATCATGGCTGTATTTCCAGTAGTTGGGATAAACATAAAATGCTCTTTCATGTAAAACCAAATTTTTGCTTTCTTTTTGTACCCTGGTTTGGTAGTTTCCAGATTTTCTTGAATTATTGATCTGAGTAAAATTCTTTTGAGGCATAAACAAGCTTAGATTGAGATTCTTGAAGCTGGTTTTGCTGTGTTTTGATCATCATTGTGTATCGTGCTAACAAGTTTCGATTCTCTACTCAGGTTAGACAAAGATGGCGTACGAAGACCGCTTTGGACAGGTTCAGAGGTCAAAATACGATTGCCTGCTATTTGGTAAGGTTTCTTGTGTAGAGCCCTTACTAGTTTCTGTGAATGATCATTGTTGAAAGCTGAAGAGGCCAACTAGTTTGTGTTGTATTCACAGATCTTGACGATACGCTTTATCCCCTCAGCTCGGGTTTAGCTGCAGCGTGTGGCAAGAACATTCGAGGTATTTTTGAAGCTTGGAGTTAAGTGTTGTAATTATAAGTTTTGCGATATGTTACTGATTGTTCAAATATGGTTTTTACTTTTTAGATTACATGGTTGAGAAGCTCGGTATAGACCGAAGCACAATCGTTGATTTGGGTAACTTGCTGTATAAGAACTATGGTACTACAATGGCAGGTCTTAGGGTATGTATATGAGTATATGTATATCATCTCCTCTATTTTAGTTCTTAGAAGAAAAGAATGGCTTATGGGGAATCTGTTATGTTTTTTGTCAGGCAATTGGCTATGATTTTGACTATGATGAATATCATAGGTGAGGATTCTTTTGTTTCCATTTGTTTTAGTTGAGGTTTCAGACTTGTAGAGTACAATATTGTTTAGATAATTGAATAAACCGAATCTCGTTTATGCAGTTTTGTGCACGGGCGATTGCCTTATGAGAATCTGAGGCCCGACCCTGTCCTAAGAAGTCTTCTGCTAAGCCTGCCTTATAGGAAGCTTGTAAGCTACCTCCCAACTTTGCATTTCTACTGCTAATATTCGTTTTCGAGGTTGTGTTCCTCGAGAACTTATTGGGATTTTGTTTTTATTGCCTCTGCTGTGTATGAACAGATCTTCACGAATGCTGATAAGGTCCACGCCATCAAAGTTCTTAGAATTCTTGGATTGGAGGACTGTTTCGAGGGGATCATATGCTTCGAGACACTGAATCCCACTTACAAAACAGCTGCATCTGATGATGAGGACGACATCGCCTTTGTGGGCTCTTCTGCAGCCTCTGCTGCATCTTCGAGCCGCTCAGAGATCTTCGACATCGTTGGGCACTTCTCCCAACCGAACGCTGGATCAGCATTGCCTAAGACGCCCGTTCTGTGCAAGCCTTCCGTGGCGTCCATCGAGAAGGCTATTGAACTCGCCAGCATTGATCCACATAGAACTGTAAGATTGATCAAACTTCAATCCCCCCTCTATAACTAATGCCCAACATCGATCCTCATTCCTCGCGTTTTCTTGATTCCTCTTCAGCTCTTCTTTGAAGATAGCGCCCGAAACATCCAGGCTGGGAAGCTCGTCGGCCTACACACAGTCCTGGTAAGTTTCAGACACCAATTGAAAGCATAAGCTGATAGTTGGATTGCACATTTATGTTTATATATTATATGTGTTCTATCTCTTATACAAACTTGAAGTATATGTTCTATCCCAACTAAAAGTCTAAGCTGATAGTTGGATTTCCAAAACCCGAACAGGTGGGGAAATCTCAGAGAGTTCAAGGTGCGGATTACGCCTTGGAAAGCATCCACAACATCAAAGAAGCCTTGCCAGAACTGTGGGAAACCGACAAGGTGGCTGAAGTCAACAACAACTACTCCGGGGTTGCTGTTCCAGCATCTGTCACTGCTTAGCTACCTGTCCTCATATGCTTAACAACAACGTTTTAGGAATCAAAAAAACAACAAAAAAAAAACAAACAAAAAAAAAATTGGGATTGTCTGTCGTGCTTAATGCCCAGAGGGGAGGGAGCAATCTTGCGCGATTGTGTTGATCATCATCATCACTGATTATTAAAAATTTAAAAGGAAAAAAAAAAGAAAAAAAAATGATGTAGATGTGTTCATTGTACTTGCTACTACTACATAGAATAATTGTGCAATGTAATGTAATGCTGTAAATGAGTTTATTTTAATGGCAATTATTTTGTTCCTTCCAGTTTGGTTAACCAATAAACTCATTTGTGTGTGACTATAACAATATAAAACACGGATAGGGTTGAATTATTGGTCCCTGTCGCGTTGCACATCACATCAAATATGATTTGGGTGGCTAATAATTTCACTTTTTTATACGTCGCAAGTTTGTTGGATATTTCCAAAACAATAACAATGACAAATATTGAACATAAAAACGCGTTTTAATTTTAATTTTTTTTTTTTTTTGGGTGTGAAGACAAACCCGTCACTACCCACGAAGGGTGTGCACAAACTACTGAGTAAATTTCATCTCGTGAAGTTCTTCATTCTTCCAAAACGTTGAATCCCAACCCTAAGGGACTCCCACACCTCGACTTGACAGAGCATCTGGGAGGATGTAAATCATAGTAATTCAACTGAACATGAACTACAGAGGCTAGATATTTGCTTACTGCGCACAAGGAACCCCTCACTTTGAGAGGTTGCTCCCACAATGCCTCTGGTGAGACTCGATCTCTGGTCATTCTTCTAAACTTTCATCTCTATGACCAGTTGAGCTGCCCATGCGAGTACCATGTCAAGCTCTTCATAGTTGAACGGCAGGCGCCAGGTGGCAAACTAACTGAATCAAATTAAGAAGGTTAATAGAGCATTCATGTTTCAACTTGGTTGTGTTGTACTCAAGAAAAATACTTTTTCAAAACTTTTACAAAACTACAAAGATGCCATTGCACATTTTGTGGGGATCTTGTATATATATATATGTATATGTATATTTTTAGGAAAGATATCATCTCTTAGGAAAATAAAATATTTAGGAAATCCTCAATATTCTTTGTACGTTGTATTTTTATCATATTTATAGCGTCACTACGTAAATAACGAACATATGCTTCTCTTTGTAAAATTCTTTCAGAGTACGTAAAATATGCATTCACCTCATATGTTTTAAACCCATTGATTTGGATGCAAAAAAATATTAAAATATTGGATTAGGGGATGGTTTATATATATTCTCTTATGCGTCATATTGATTTGATTAAATCACTGATTAAAATTAATTCATTGAATATAAGCTCATATGCCTTTGTAGGCAAAGTTCTCAAAAAAAAATTTATTCAAGACCAACTAATCTTTATGCTCCCTTCACTATCTTACAAACTATTTTATAAAGTATTACAATTGATCTAAGTGACTTATGTAAATAAAGTATTAAAAATAGATAATAAAACATTATTTTCAATTTGACAAAAGAATTTGAAAAAAAAAATTTTAAAAAATAGATAGTATCTTACAAACTATTTTAATTAAAAAAAATAAAGTACGTGGTTCCATTACCTACAATTTATTATTTGTCTAATTTTACATATTGCCCTCATTTATTTATTCCCACCACCGAGATTTGAACCTTAATCACTCATTTAGAATGATAACCGGGATATCATCATACTACATGGTAGTTGACATCTCTATCGTATCATAAGTTACTTTATCACTATTAAATACATTTATCACTTACCATTCACATTGATATTTATACAAAGACAATAAAGAAAAGGGCCAAAAAAAAAAAGTCCTAAACTATATGGTCGCATCAAAACTAAAAAGTTTTTTTAAAAATTGTCGCATCAACCTTAAAATGCCAATTTAACAGGTTATTTGATCTTAACATGCTAAAAGTGTTAATTACACTTTTGTAGATCGAGTTTAAGAATTAATATGAAAGTAATTGAACAAAGTGACATGAAGTGACTCTCTCAAATGGAAGGTCATGAGTTCATGCTAATTGTGTAAATTACACTTTTGTAGAGCGAGTTTAAGGATTAATATGAAAGTTATTAAACAAAGTGACATGAAGTGGCTCTTTCAAATGGAATGTCATGGGTTTATGGGTTCATGCTAAAAGTGTAAATTACACTTTTGTAGATCGAGTTTAAGGATTAATATGAAAGTTATTGAACAAAGTGACATGAAGTGACTCTCTCAAAATAGAAGCTCATGGGTTCAAATCTTAGTAGAGTACTAGTATTAATTGCCCCCACTGAGGCTCGATCTTATGACCTCTCACGTAAGAAAGGTCACTGCATGTCATCTGATGAGCACAATATTGAGATTGAACTTGTGAATCAATTTCGAGTTAGCTATAATACTAAATTAAAGTATGTATTCCATCTCAATTAAAAGTTCAAATTGGTAGTTAAATTAACATTTATATTTATATATTATATACTCGATCGATAAGATAAGAAAATGAAAGGATGGACGAAGTTGATTACAGGTGTCTTACGTTATAATTTCGTGAAAGCTCAGCATCACTACATTTGTGTGGTGAAGACTGAAGATGTACAATGTTAAAGAATTTTCATATCCAAGAATTGAGAATTTACCACTACTTTGGAGATTTGGCGGGCGCATTGGGTGTCATGCACCATCACACCTAACCAAATTTCTCCTCATCGTACACTTGTTTCAAAACTATTTACATTCATCAAAAATGTTAAATATACATATTATATTCATTTTGAAAGTTTTGGAAAAAATGTGTTGATGGGTATAGACTATAGACTATAGACTATAGAGTGGGTAAAATTGAGCACTCGATGTCCTAATAAGACGGGATTTAGGTGTGTGATAATTAAGTTTGGGATAAGTTCGATATTAAGAATTTATTAGAATTTAAAATATGTTTAATAAGTGACATAACTAGACGAATTCAGGTAGTGTGTCAACATTTTCAACTCAAAGAATCTAAACTCTCGCCATCGGAGTTTAAACTTATGACTAATTAATCACACTACATGATAATTGATCCATCTTTTTTTTTTTAACACATAACAATAACATGATACTTTTCACGTACTATACGAGTCCTCGAGTGAATTATGTATATTTTTATTTATTTGGAGAACTTCTTTTTTTTTTTTTTTCATTAAGATGTTGTAGAGTCATTATTCCGAGTTTGAGAGTCTATTTTCACCTCAATTGTAGTGCTTTTTACCGTGAACGTATGAAGAGGAGATCCATATCCATTTATTGTAATATTGGCGATGTTTGGCTGTTAATAACTGATAGTTGATTTTGTTAACTAGTTTAACCAGCTGATAGTATTAGCTGATTATAGAAAGATGTTTGCTAAATCAGTTGTTTACTCTTAGCTGATTACATATACAAACGACATATAAGGGCGTACGCATATTGTGTTATTATTTAACTCTTATGGCATGTTTGGTTCATGGAATAGGTCAGGAATGGAATAACATTCCTTGGAATAGACCTATTCCATCGTTTGGTTGGATCATTTTGTCATGGGAATAGCATGCCTAGGAATGAGCTATTACCTTCGCAAGGGGAATAGCCATTCCTAGGGGGGGCCTTGGTATTAGCTATTCCCATGTCCTTGGGAATAACTTTTATATCAAAAATACCAAAAATACCCTTTGCATATTATATAATATTTATATTTATTTAATAAATATAATGTATTATATAAATGTATATATTTAATTAATTATAATTTTTATCCATCAATCTATCAATATTATATATATATATATATATATATATATATGTAAATAAAAATAAGTTAACTGTATAAGACTCCTTAATTTGGAGCCTTAGCTCCTAAATTAAGTAGTCTGCTCATCTGCATGCCTAGCGGATGGACATTGCAAGCTTGCCTAGCGGATGAGCATTGCAATTGAAATTATGGACCCTTGAGACTCCTTTTATAGGAGCCTCAAGGCTCCATTCCTTACTTCTCCAACCGATGTGGGATAAGTGAGAAAATAAATATAAAAATTAATATGTATTTGTAATAATAATAATAATAATAATAATAATAATAATAATAATAATAATAATAATAATTATTATTATTATTATTATTATTATTATTATTATTATTATTATTGTTGTTGTTGTTGTTATTCTCTCTTACACACACATGCATATATATATATATATATATATATATATATATATATATATATATATATATATATATATAACATTCAGTATATCATAATCATATTTATTATTATTATTATTATTATTATTATTATTATTATTATTTTGCATAAGGGTATTTATGTCTTTAAAACCTATTCCATTTCTATTCCTTTAACCAACCAAATACTGGAATACAATTACTAAAGTCTATTCCTTCAGCGAACCAAACAACAGAATACAATTCCTATTCTATTCCTTACCTATTCCATTCCATGTGGAATAGCATTCCTATTCCCTCCAAATTCATCCCGTGAACCAAACGCGCTGTTAAAGTATTTTTATAATTTATTGTTATCGTTGTGTTAATAATTATTTTTTAACTATTAATTTTTTTGTTTTATTATTAATATTGTTATAATTATAAAAAATACTCCATAATGAATAATTATTCAATATTGAAATATAATTTCAAATACAAATATAATAAGCATAAGTTGTTAATAATAATTAAATATAATGATTAAAATAATTATATATATATATATATATATATATATATATATATATATATATATATATATATATGCATGTATGTATGTATGTATGTATGTATGTATTTGTGTGTCTTAGGCAAAGAGTCAATTCATATGTTGGGCTTTAGACGATTATGATTATATTAAAAATGTAAATTTGAATAAATATAAACACCACAATAATTAATAACTATTAAGGGTAAATTATATTTTTTTAAAACAAAAATGCAATAAGTTGATATCAATAAGCTACTCAAAGTAGCGTTTTCATTTTCAGCTTATTGACGTCATTAAGTTAAGGTAAAAAATTATTTATCAAACACTTATATTAGTTGTTTAACCAGTCAAATAAGTTAAAATTGGCTAAATAAGCTAGACTTTATTTGATAAGCAATTTTCTAAACACCCTCGTAATTACTATTCATAGTGGATAATGGAGAAATTGTAAATTTATTTATTTATTCTTAACCACTAGTTTAATCCAACATAGTTGGGCTTTAATTTCAACAACTATTTTGATAGGTATGAGTGATTCTTCACCAACTAATTTGATCATGTCAATTTGACAATTTCATAGATAAAAAATATAAAATCATTTATCAATCTTCCAGTTTGATGGGGTATTATTATCAAAATCCACATAAAGAAACTAACATTTAATAAAATCATATATTATATGGACTCCTCATGTATCCATGAGGTGTGGATAAAATGACACAAGTCTCTTTTAAGTTAACCTTTTTCTGGATGTCTCGAGTTGAAATTTTATTAACACAAATAAAATTAATTTTAGTGTGTTATCTTAATTAATTAGATGAAGAAACCCTCAATAAGATAATATATATAATTTTGCAAATTATGCCATGGAATCGTGTTCACCGAGAATGGTGAACACAAGGCAAAACGACGTCGTTTTTAGGCAAAAAAAAAAAAAAATTCGCAGATGTGGAGTTAACGGCGCGCGTTTGATCAAATTATGAATTTTCTGTTATGAGATTATGAATTTTATGAAAATTCATAATCTCATAACAGAAAATTCATAATCGCATAACAGAAAATTCATAATCTCACAACTGAAAATTCATAATCTCATAACAGAAAATTCATAATCTTATAACAGAAAATTCATAATCTCATGGTTCCAAACTGAATGTGTAGGCATGGTTCCAAAGTGAATGTGCAGGCATGGATTCATAATTTATGAATGTCCGTGATTTCGGACGGGAATATGTAGGCATGGTTCCAAAGTGAATGTGCAGGCATGAATTCATAATTTATGAATGTCCGAAATTATGAATGTAATGAAAATTCATAATCTCATAACAGAAAATTCATAATCGCATAACAGAAAATTCATAATCTCATAACTGAAAATTCATAATCTCATAACAGAAAATTCATAATCTTATAACAGAAAATTCATAATCTCATGGTTCCAAAGTGAATGTGTAGGCATGGTTCCAAAGTGAATGTGCAGGCATGGATTCATAATTTATGAATGTCTGTGATTTCGGACGGGAATGTGTAGGCATGGTTCCAAAGTGAATGTGCAGGCATGAATTCATAATTTATGAATGTCCGAAATTTTTGTTCACCTCAAATTAAAGTGAAACTGCAAAATGTGAAAATAAAGAAGAAAAGTCACGCAATTAATTTAAAAAAAAAAAAAAAAAAAAAAAAGAAGAAGAAGAAAGAAGAAGATAACGGTGTACTAACACCGTTGGAACCGTGTTCACCATGAATGGTGAACACGATTCCATGGCATAACGTCCGATATAATTTGAAATGGGCCAGAAGTCCTAAGTTTGAAGTTGAGCAAAACTTGGGCTCACATAACAACTAATGTTTTTTAGGTAGTGAAGTTTAATGCTCATTTTATATAAGCTCAAAAATATTATTATATTAAATAATTTAAAATATTTTAGTTTTTCTATTTTTTATTTATATTTATAATAACATAATTTTTTTTTGTGCATCGCGCGGGTGAATTACTAGTTTTTATAAATAGAAATATAATTATTTATAAAAATATAAATATTAGTGGTGATTTTTATTTATAGCAACAGACATTATGGCCCTGTTTGGTAAAATAGTTAGCCTATAGGTCAATTTTGATTTATTTGACCACTATTAGTTGTTTGACTTGGTTTTAAAATCAATATAAGTGTTTTGTTAATTAACTTTTTATACTCCAGAATGCTAAAATTTAAAAAGTTACTCAAAGTACCTTTTTCAATTAGCTTTTTGAGAAAAAAAAAATTATACCAAATAACTAATTTACCAAACATCTTTCTACAATCAGCTAATGTTATCAACTAGTTATACCTTCTAATTAACTCAATCAGCTAACGGCTAATAGCTATCAGCTAACAGACATTTATCAAATAGAGCCTATGTCTTTTTAGTATTGTAAAATTTTCTTAGATAAATATTTTCAAATACAGAGTGTGTAATAAAGAAATAACGGTCATGATTGGAGGCGATAATGTGGGGTTCGAATCCTACTGAAAGCATATATAGGAAAAAGGTCCAAGGATAGTGAAATGTCTAGATTGAATTTCTTGTGCGTACATATAGACTAAGATCTGACTGGTGGATTGATTGCACGACTCACGATATACTTCCGCAATAACTTTAAGGGCGAAATCCTGTAGACTTTAAATTAATTCGACAAAATGTGATCACTTTTAAGTTCTCAGATTTATGCTCTTAGACTTCCCAAGTCTGCTCAATTAAAATTTCATTAAATACATCATAAAACACCAAACAAAACTGAAAAACTACACAACATTTTTGCAATACTACACATGTGGTCCTTTAATCACATATTTAAGAGGGTGACCAACCCCAATCGTTATGTCATGGAACCGTGTTTACTATGGATGGTGAATACGGTTCCAACGGTAATGGTGCACTGTTATTTTTTTTTCTTAATTTAATGTGCGACTTTTTTTCTTCATTTTCACATTTTGCGATTTCACTTCCTCTTCGCGCAAGTTTTTTCAACATTCATGAATTATGAATGTGCAGGTATGGATTTATGAATGTGCAGTTATAAAATTATGAATTTTCTTTTATGAGATTATGAATTTTCTGTTATGAGATTATGAATTTTCTGTTATGAAATTATGAATTTTCCGTTATGAGATTATGAATTTACAGAAAATTCATAATTACATAAATGTAAATTCATAATCTCATAACAGAAAATTCATAATTTAATAAATGTTATTCTTTTATGCGATTATGAATTTTCTGTTACGAGATTATGAATGTACAGTACATTCATAATCTCATAACAGAAAATTCATAATCTGAACAAACGAGCGCTATTAACAACACATTAACTAAATTTGTTTTTTTGTAAAAACGACACCGTTTGAACTTGTGTTCACCATAATACATTTTCGGGACATAATTTGCGCAGCCCATTATTTTATTTTACGACCTAACGCTCCACCCCGCATTAGATAAGGTTATTGCCTATCAAATCTACCAAACGGATAAGAAAGTCCTAAACTTTAATGGTATGTCACTGTTCCAAATTTATTACGGCTCCTCTTTTTGGATGACTAAAAACTTGGTAATTACTATTTGCAATATTATATGATGGAGCATGTTTCACATTATAAGATATATAATTGACATAAGGTTTATTTTTAGTATATCAAATGTTTATTTTTAATTACTTCGAATATTTATTATTTAAATGTTTACATTTTGTAGTATGATTGGCTCAATTACAATGTAGTATCCGTTCTATATTTTTTTTATCTGTTGCAATTCAAAGAGTTAATACCCTACCACCAAGTTCGATCATATGACCTTCTCTCGGATAAATGTTCATTTTTAGTATATTGAAGATTTACGTTTTGGTATAGTCTAAAAATAAACATTCAATATACTAAAAATGAACATTAATTATATTAAAAATGAATATTTTTCTGAGTTCCATAGTATAATTTTCCTATCTTACCCGAAGGTGTGCATGTATTGGATAAACACCACCTTGGCAAAGAATTACAGGAGATAAACCAATTAGGTTATATATAGTTTATCAACTCAAACTAAGAAGACTAATAGACTATTTTCATTGAGAGTGAAACGTACAACTTGTAACCTGATTACCAAGTCAACAACCTAACTATCGGGGATTTTGAGGTATTTATTACTAGCTAGTGTTTGTACTTATACTAATGTTGGTTGAATTATTACTGCTGTATAATCCTACTGTAATTTGTGCTACAATTAATCAATTATCACTGATAAAATTGTCTAAACAGAGTAAGAACAGTTAACAGATGCAGTGAAATACTGTAGTAAAAAAAAAAATCGCTGTTAGAAATTTCCATGGAAGCATAGCTACTTTTACTCATGAATTTTGGATAGCTTATTCCCAGAATCCCAGTGTGATTGTGTGAACTGTGAAGCCATACCCGAAATTCCCATAACGCATATCAGGAATGGCAACCATGACACGTGTCCCCATAGCAGCTCCAACTACGAGCCGCAAATGTGGTTGGCGGGTGGACTCACTAAATACGGGAGTCCCACAGGTTTCTTCTCCACTACTTCACTTCAATTCAGCTGCAGCCCGAAGCAGAAGCGGCCGGCGGTTTAGGAGATTTTGTGTGGTCGCCATGGCGGATGGGAAAAGCACCGTTCTTGTCACCGGAGCTGCTGGTAGAACCGGTAATGTTTGGAATCTTTTTTCTTTATTTGTTTTTGGTTTCCAGATTTCTCATTTACAGTGTTGTATTGCATGTGTGTGTGTTTACTGGTATAGGGTTTTAAGGGCTTTGTTTAATCTGTTTTTTTGTTGAATCAATTTACTCGATTTGAGATAGTTGTGCTTAAAATTTTGTCTCTTAGCTTAGTTTTGTGTTGAGCCCTGTGCTGATACTGGGCATTTATATTTGTCAATTTTGATCTTTGCTCACAAAAGGCGAAATCCCTCCTCGCCAAGACTCCCCCTACACCCCGGCCTGACAGGATTGTGGAGGGGTAAATCACAAACACTCATTGGTCCATTAAGTGGGAGGGCACAAAGAGCCACCCCACAGGAGGGTGAAAATCCTATAATGTCACAGCCCGGGCTTGATCCTGCATCTTGCCCACAGTTCACCACTCAGAAACCAACTAAGCTACCCGTGTTGGCTTGTCAACTTTGATCTTATTATATAGAGTTAATACCCGTTTTGGTCCCTTGACTTTCAAACTTGCTCAATTTTATCCGCAACTTTACAATTGTTAACCAAAATGGTCATAATAAGGACTATTTTGGTTTGTACAAAGGACTATTTTAGGTAAAAATTGCATTGTTAAGGATGAGATTGAGTAATTTTAGAAGTCAAGGACCAAAGTGGTGAAATTCTAATAGTCGAGGGACCAAAATGGGTATTAACTCTTATTATATAGAAGGTGCATTTCTGTAAACCAGGTAGAAAATGATAAAGTGTAGTGTTTGTTTGGCACCACTGAGAAAATGAATTTCCATTAGGAGTGTGGTGATCATGGAAGGTTAGAATAACAATATTTGGAGTAAATAAATAATTCATATTCTTTGGTGACATATAAAAGTTTTCACATGTGAGCTTACAAGGATACTAGGATAGGAACTTAAAGCCCTTCAGTGATCCACACTCCATGATGATTATTAACGCTGTAGTAGTGCTTCTTTACCTTGATATCTAAGAGGCAATTATAAGTGTGTGTCCCAAATAGCTCATGAGTCGTATTTTTTGGTGCTTCTGATGGGGAGAGAGATTGGACTCGAAACTTCTAATATATTTTGTTGGAAACCTTGGAAAGAACAAAGGTGGGAACTGCATGGCCAAGTTAAAAACCGGAACTCAAAATTCATTTGACGAGGTTGGGAGTTGAAATTGTGACCTCAGACCTCCTAATCTAGAGTTTCGAGCTGATGCCACTTAATTACAGGGTTGTTGGCAAAGAATTTGGGTCTTTGAATTGATTTTATTATGCCTAATATAATAGTATCATGCTTGTAGAGCAGAAGAAAAAGGAAAATGGAAACCAGTGGACAAGAGTCTTGCGTATGTTTGGGGACGGAAAATGTATGGAACTTTAAGTCTGTTCACTGCATTAATCATGACCAAATGCCTAATGGTCACCAGATTAACGCTTGGCCTCTAAACTTAATGTTTGTATGAACGGTGCAAATGGGATGGTCTCTAAGAAACAAATGTTTTTGTTAACATGGTTCGGTTTCCTCACAGGACAAATTGTTTACAAAAGGTTGAAGGAGAGGACAGACCAATATGTTGCAAGAGGTTTGGTGAGAACTGAAGAGAGCAAGAAAAAAATCGGTGGTGAAGATGATGTTTATGTAGGTGATATCCGGGATGCTGAGAGCATAGTTCCTGCAGTACAGGGTATTGATGCTCTTATAATTCTTACAAGCGCTGTGCCAAAGATGAAACCTGGTTTCGATCCAACTTCAGGTCAACGGCCAGAGTTCTACTTTGAAGATGGGCAATTCCCCGAACAGGTGAACTTTACATCAAAAGTAAATGTGCAAACTTGGATTTATTACGTCTTGCCTATCTAAGTATCGGTGCACGTTGTAGGTTGACTGGATTGGTCAAAAGAATCAAATAGATGCTGGTGAGGACTAACAGTTTTCTTCTTAGTTTTAGCTTTCTGGTTTTCTAGAGTAATGTTAATGTGACCAAATATGTTATCAATTTACAGCCAAGTCTGCTGGCGTGAAGCATATTGTTCTGGTCGGATCAATGGGAGGAACGGATCTTAAAAACCCATTAAACAGCATAGGAAACGGAAACATATTGGTTTGCATACCACTTCCTATTTTGTTTCTTTTCTGCCCTATTTTAACATAATTTTTTGCTCATGGGTACCCACCCATTTTCTTTTTTCTTCATTCTATCTATCATATTCAACACCCAATGTGCCATTTCCTTACCTCCTTTTTTTTTTGGGTGACGAGGGAAACCCACAGCCACTACCCTTGTGACCCTAGCTGGCAAAGGACCACAAGGAGGTAAACTAGCTTAGGTTGTCCATACCTGACCGACTCAAACAAAGAAGGTTAATAGGCCGCTCCTATTGAGAGTCGAACTTGTAATCTTTGGTTACAAGTCAATAGCCTGACCGACTTGACTGGGGTTGCCCCCTCCATACCTCCCTTTTGTTTCTTCGCATGGCTGTCTTCTTGGAAATTTATTATCTAGACATGTTTTACAAGACCAAATTAACATCCAAAGGTGGGAATTGTGGATTGACATATTTCTCATCACATAACCACCATTAGATGTTTTGATCCAGAAATTCTAACTAAAATAATTACAGGTTTGGAAGAGAAAGGCCGAACAGTATTTGGCTGAGTCTGGAATCCCATATACCATTATAAGGTCATTTACTTTTAATGAAAAGATTGCACTAAGCAGACTTATTCTCATTTTTATTGACACCTCTCTGGCTTGTTCAGAGCCGGGGGTCTGCAAGATAAAGATGGTGGTGTTCGTGAACTGCTTGTTGGAAAGGACGATGAACTTCTCAAGACAGATACACGAACTATTGCCAGGCCTGATGTTGCAGAAGTCTGCATTCAGGTAATTACTTAGAAAGCTCGATTGTCTCTCAACATTCACACTGCATCTCTGTGTTGATTGCTCTCCATGCTGTTTTCTTGGTATTGGCAGGCGCTACAGTTTGAGGAGTCGAAATTCAAGGCATTTGATTTGTCCTCAAAACCGGAGGGCACTGGAACCCCGACCAAGGATTTCAAGGCTCTTTTCGCCCAAATCACCACGCGCTTCTAATTTCCCCAAACGAGAAAGGTAATCGTTGAGCTGCTGTTAGAAGCTCCTGTTTCATGTTCTTATTGAGATATCCATCACAGTTCTGCTTCATTATCTTCTGGGCAGTTATTTGTTAAGCACCCCATGTACCCTCTTGATTTCTCTGTTTTTGCTTCATTATCTCATGTTCATCAACTTATATCACTACTTGAAACTGCCAAGATGATCCATATTTATTAACTTTTATTTGTCACTCTGGCACATGCTATAGTGGTTTTCTGTTTGATGTATTGAGCAAACAACCATGGGCTTGTAATAAATTAAAAGGTGTTACCTCTCCTGTGTGGCTTTTGGGCTACTGCAGGTATACCTAGTGTACACGCACAGGTAGTGATTGCAGGATTTAACAGTACTTTGAACAGCCGGCCAAAAGACAATGGAATTAAGTGAACGTAGAAATAAATATATTTTATTGGAACTTTATATATTTAATATATTGTGAGGGATGCCAATTTCAATTCGCCTGTGGATATCCACCCAACATGAATTTTTGGGGTGATAGTGGGTGGTGGGTCAGGGGTGAGTTAAAAAAAAAATAATAATTATAATAATTAAACCCGTTGTGGGTCGGGTTGGATTCGAATTTTATGTACAAAATCCGATTAGAACTCCACCCGACCCACCATGTATATATACAATCATTATTGTGTGGATCATATTTTATATATTGTAAAATAATGTACATTACTTTTTTGTCCAGAGTGTATATTATATTGTATAATGTATACCCAGGACAAAAGTAATGTACATTCAGTACAAAAATAATGTACTTTTTATTGTGGACCATGGTCTACACAATAATTTGCCGTATATATATATATATATATATATATATATATATATATATATATATATATATATATATATATAGTAAAATAAGTATTAGTATGTAGTTAATTATACAAGTTCCTAACACTTTTACTGATTTTTTTTTTATTATTTGTAGTTCTAAACTAACAAGTTTATTTTTAAAAATTAACAATTTAGTTATTATATTTAAATATTTCTATTATTTTTTTATTTTAATATGACTATTGAATTCTATTATTTTATTATGTGTAAGTAATTTAAATATTATTTAAAAATATTAATAAGATAATAAGTTGTGGGAACCCGTAATGGATACCCGTACTCAGTGGGATACAGGTGAGTTTTGAAAAAGTCCACTCGATGTGGGGTGTGTGGAGAAAATATAAGGTGGGTCGGGTGATTGATGTAGCCTTCCCCGACTCATTGTCATCCCTATATATGATGTACATAGAGTGACTTGAATAAGAAATAGCTTATGATTGACCGATTAGAGGAGATGAAGATTCTTTGTGCATAAAGTGTATAGGTATGGGTGGGAACCAAAGGACTGACATAGCAATTCGCAATTTACTTTATCCATCAACCCGTGGACAAGGACTTTGCCTTCAAATTAGCCTGGTCTAAGATGGGATACCTAATATAATAATATTTTTTTTTTTGGAAAAAAACGTATGACATATAAAATACAAAGAAGAAGGAGAGGATTAAATATTTGAAGACTTCAAGGAGAATACTCCTTGTATAAATCAAATTCATCTTTGTTTTTGAAGCAGTCTATTGAATCATTCAAGCATTCAAACAAATAGTATGATGATGAACAGCAGGGACCAAACAAACATGCCTTTGGTCAAAATTGGTGATTACAATATGAAATTGTCCATATATTTTATTCAAGAAAGGCACCATTAACTCTATACTATTAATATTTACCAAACAATAACATTATATACATGGTTGAAAAAATCGCTAGGCGCCTGGGGACCGCCTAGGGCGTCTAGAGCGATTAATCGGCGCCTAGAGCATCTAGGCGGGCGCCTAGGACGCCTAGGTGGCCGACCGCCTAGCGCCTAGGCCCGATTTTTGCAACACTGATTATATACCATGTATAGTAAATTTTTCCGAGTAAAATATTAAAATTCACTTTTATTTTTAATGAGGATTCGCGAATTTGAAACAAAATGAACATTATTGTGATGATGAGTATTATGTTATTAAAAAAATTAGTAAGTGTTCCGTGCGATGCACAGACTATTATTAATTTAACAAATGAATAAATTACACTTTTGGTCCTATGACTATAAGGGGCGTGTTAATTTCGCTCCATGACTTTTAAAACTAACAATTTAGTCTTTTAACTATACTTTTTTTTTAGCAAATTTAGTCCTTCCGGCAAATCAACCGTAGAAATTGGTCGGAAAAACTTAAACCTTTTTAAAATTTTTATTCATGAGGGCAAAATAGTCTTTTTACGTAAGTTGTTTCTTCTTCTTCGCATTCATGAGCTACGGCTAACAGTTGCCTCTGCCTCCAATAAAGAACAACTCCAAGAATTGAAGCCACAGGTTCAGAAGCAAGGTATGATTTTTATCATCAACTTTTTCTTCATGTCTAGTGCGCATTTCTTGATTCATCTTCCCCTTATTGCACGGTATAAAGCTCTATATATAAGAGATCTAAACTCCTATAAATATTCTTCTCCCTATTCTAGCCATAACCATCCTCTCAATTCCAGCCACGACCAAAACATAATTGTAGTATTGGTTGTGGTCATGTGGATGATGGTTTATTTATAGTGTTGAAGTAGGTGTAGATGTTAATGTAAATATTGATAGAGATATAGAGATAGAGAAGAGAAGAGATAGAGATAATATATATAATATATGCAATATTTTATAAATTAATAATATAGACATGTTATGTTGACTAATTTAATATTTATGTTGATGTTGATTTTATTTGTAATTAAAATTACATGAATTTATAAAGTAATGTGAATACAATAAATACTTTCACTTCATATTCTATAAATTGCATTTTGGGGTCGCCCCTTCCAGTTAGAATGAAAAATAAATGCTTTCAAACAAATAAATATTTTCACACTTTGAAGAAAAAAAAAAATTTCCCTAATCATTTTGCTTTAATATATATATATTTAAAAAAAACAAAATAATTGTTGAACAAATACCATGAATAGATTAGGGTGTACTCAAACAAAATCATTACAATAAATAAGCATATATATTATTTATTTCAATTTTTAATTTGAAAATATATTACCCTAACTTGGTCAAACCATAGCATATATAACATGATTGAGTATTAGTTGAACTACTTAATTAACCAAAATCCAATTGCACAACATCAGATGTGGACAGACTACCTAAAGTGTGAACTTTAAGTAATTGCAGAAATGCCATTTTTGAAGGAGCACGTATTGGACCACATTAATTTAATTAAATTGCAATTAGATATTAGGAAAAAAAAGAACTTGTGTTCCCAAATTTGGTCCTTTAATTATTAATATTTTCAAATTAAATACATGACTATATAATTTGTATTACATTTAGTCATTGACTATTAATATTTTCAAATTAGGTACATAACTTTATATTTATACTGAAATCAATCTCCTTAATAATGAAATATAGTAAAATTAATGAAATATTTCTACTTGTTCATATTGATATTTGTTTCTATTTAGCCTTAAATTTTACCATATACATTCATAAATTTCATTATGTTGAATCTCCTAATTTAATACTCCATACTAGTTGTATCTAAAATATTATACATGGTATTTTACCTTAACAAAGTGAGGTACCATTCTTAGTAATCCATAACCAAAACAATAAAACTCTTCTCTAATTTATAGTCAAAAATAAAAATGTATTATTACTTAACACATAAGTGACAGTGGAGCAAAGGTAGTTCATCAACTCGCAAGCGTGTAAAATAGAAAGGAGCAAAAATGTATACGGAATAAGATGCTTAAAATGGACAAAAGTCCAAAAGTGTGTGTGAAAATAGGGAGTATATATAGTATTTTCCTTTTTGTTTTCCCTTGTCCCCGGCAAATTGCCGCTAACGTGTTTGTTATAATGCCTCTGACACCTGCTACACCGCTTCATTGTTGACTTGAATGCCCGCCTCCCTCTCTCTCCTAAACTACCGCTCTTACCCACTTCGCCGTCCGAGTTGTGCAGATGGCCGGAAAAGACCCGCGGCGGTGCGGCAACACTATCCACCCGGTGGATGCGGAATCGCCGCCCTTCCCCGCCGGGACTCCGATTAATTACGGGGATATCAAGCATTTCCGGAAATCGGTTCCCTGGTTGATTCCTTGTTTCGTTATTGCAAATGTTGTCATGTTCGTGATCACCATGTATGTGAACGACTGCCCTAAGAACTCGATTTCTTGCATTGCTCGTTTCCTGGGGAGGTTCTCCTTTCAGCCCTTCAGCGAGAATCCTCTTCTTGGGCCTTCGTCTGACTCGTGAGCTTCTTTTACTTTGTCCCTCTTTCAATTCTTGCACTCTGTATTGCGGTATTTGGTCTATCTCTGTGTGTTTTGGGTATTGATTCGATTTAACTTTTAAGTGATGCTCAAAGTACTAAAGTTCTAAGCTTCAAGCTATGCCCAACTGGAATTTCTTGTTAAATTGTGCTGTTAGTTGTACCCAATTTGTTGATTAAGTCTGAACAGCCTAAACTTGTTTTGCTGAACTTGAGTTGTTCAAATGAACTGATGATAGCTGAGTATTGGGATGTATCAGCTTGATTTTGTGCTGTGATTGCTATATATAATCATAATAACAGCAAAGTGACAAAGTTCCTTTCATAATTTATAATTTCATTTTGGGATGCCTAAGAATATTTGACACTTTCTTCAAAAGTCAAGGAAAACTATGGGACATTGAAATTGTCATTGCTAGTAAATGATGTGTAAGTTCACCTACTTTTGAACTCATAGGCGGTTAACATTGGCTTTCCACATATTTAAGCTAATAAGAATGATTGCAAGTTTTTGCAATGAGGAATTTGAGCTCAGTAATCTATTGTCATTCTCTCTGAGATTTATCTACAAGCGAGAAGTGGTTGCTAGACTAGACTAGACTTCATCGTCAGCGTTAATTATCTGTTTTGAAAACCAGTTTATTGTTTTCAGCACTAAGACCATCTCCAACCAACAGTGGAAAATGGCATATTGGCAAAAAAAAAATTGATGCAATTTGCCTCCAATGAACACGCCAAAACAGCAAAACTTTTGCCATGAGTGAACAGTATTTGGCGCAGTACTATTCATGAACGGCAAAACTTTGAGAATTTTTTTTACTGTTTTGCCTTGGTCTTCCTTTTTTTTAATTTTTTTTTTGTTTTTATAATTCCTTTCGTATCCTTTTTGTTTTTATATATTTACATATTAAACATAAATTGTATATTATTAAAAATAAATGATATCACTTGAAACTTGAAAGATCTCATCAAGACTCTTAAAACAAGACTAATATTGAATATATATTAATTAAAAAATAAATTACATAAAACATAATTAAAGTTTAAATTTATTAAATTACAACTATATGTTATATTAAAATAAAAAAAGGTATTAATATAAATTTTTAATTTAGGGAAAACGGCGCTTTTGGCTCCTCAATTGTTTAACTTTTGAAAATTTAGCCACTATCAATTGATTTGAACAAATCTAGTCCTTTAATTGTTAATATTGTGTCACATTTGGTCCCTCATGTTATATAATTAGAAATTCTTTAATAATTTTTTTCATGAGGTTATAATTGTCCATTCCTTTCAACTCCCCAAGTCAGAATAGAATATGACACATACTACTCGTAATAAAAATCCACAAACCAATGACTACAACAACATAGCAACAAAACAAATGAAGATTTCAATTAAATAGTATTACTAACTCTAGGGAAATTCAACGAATAACAATTATCCTCATATAAGTTAAGTTTAAAAACTCAGTGAAACCCTCGTGTAAATAGCTTCTGCACATAGCAATGAAATTGAGAAATAGGTTCTTGCCAACACAATGTTTTAAAAATTACCCATGTAAATTCCTCTTCGAATTTCATATTTTAGTAAATTTCTCTTGCAAAAATTATACTAAAACTATGTTCAAAACATTGAATTTCAAATAAATACTTACATTTTGGCATTTTAATTAACCCAGATAACCTTCTACTAGTCATTGTAAACAACGAACTTCTACCTTTGAGTCTTCAAATTTCATGTACATAGAGGTTGTTTGAGAGGGAAGGAAAGAGCTCAGTTAGGGTTCTTGACTTCTTGCGAAGGCGTACGTTAAGAAGAAGGAGAAGAAAGTTAAATGGTTGAAAGGAATGGACAATTATAACCTCATGAAAAATAAATTATTAAAAACAATTCTAATTATATAACATGAGGGACCAAATGTGGCACATTATTAACAATTAAAGGACTAGGTTTGTTCAAATCAATTGATAGGGACTAAATTTCTAAAAGTAAAACAATTGAGGGGCCAAAAGTGTCGTTTCCCCTTTAATTTATGAGAATATAAATTATTTTAGTGTAGGAATAAAATTTGGTGCAGAATTTGGTCTAAATGTGTTGGAGATGAAAAAATTTTGGTGTAAGAATATGCTTGGAATATTCATTTTGGTGTAAAATTTGGGTGTTTTGGATTGGAGATGGCCTAAGGTTTATAAATCTCCTTTGAGTTTTACTCTAGTTCTCTAGCTTTTTTATGTATTTCACAAAATGCAAACAAATAGTATAAGTGATTAAAGGACTTTGTCTTTTCTTTTTGTTTAGGCTACAGAAGATGGGTGCATTGAATGTGAGTAAAGTGGTCCATGGACATCAGGTGTGGCGCCTTATCACTTGCATTTGGTTGCATGGTGGAGTTTTTCATTTACTGGCCAACATGTTGAGTCTTTTAGTAATTGGCATTCGGCTAGAGCGTGAATTTGGATTTGGTATGCAATAATAGTTATATTAGATACATGCTAATCTTACTTAAATTAAAAATCATCCAGCTTTAGGTCCTTACAATTTGTTGCAATGTTTTCTAGTGCGCATTGGACTGCTTTATATCATCTCTGGTCTTGGAGGAAGTTTGCTTTCGGCACTTTTTATTAAGTCCAATATATCAGTTGGTGCTTCTGGTGCTGTTTTCGGATTATTGGGGAGCATGCTTTCTGAGCTGTTCATTAATTGGACTATTTATGCAAACAAGGTATATTGAATTCTATTTGCCTTAGGAGGCTGGCTGATTTTTTTATTTTTATTTTTATTTTTATTTTTCGTTTTAAAAGCCTGAATCTGGTCTTCTCTTCTTGCCCTTTTCCAGTTTGCAGTGTTAATTACCCTGGTGGTCATCATTGCTATCAATTTAGCTGTGGGAATTCTCCCACATGTGGACAACTTTGCTCATATTGGAGGGTTTCTATCTGGATTTTTGCTTGGTTTTGTGTTTCTAATGCGCCCCCAATTTGGATGGGTTAACCAGAGATATGCCTCTGCTGGATATACATCAACACGTAAACGAAAATTCAAGGTGTATCAATTGGTTTTCTGGGTTTCTTCTCTCATCCTTCTGATAATTGGGTATGCCTCTGGAACCTTACTTTATTTTTAGGTCTCAACTCCCAAGATCCAACTGAAATTTATTGTTAAAGAATAAACTCTAAAAAACAAAGAAACATGCTTCTGAAGAAATTTTTTCCATACGGTGTTTCTTCTTCTTTCATAGGTAATGCTGGTACTTATAAACCTTACTTTGGTCTGGAATTTCTCTGTAAACAGTGGGAATAGTCCGGATTACAATATCTGTAAAATCAATTACTCCGTATATGAAAAATATCACAATCCAAATATAAGCATGGAAGAACAATATGTAGAGTGCAGTCATTTATTACATTGTATTCATTATATATATATTTGGCACATCATTCCTCTGGCAAAAAGGGGAAAAAATCTGTGGTTCTAAACTTATATTTATCTTAATAGGTTAACCACTGCCATTGTTATGCTTCTTCGTGGAGTAAACTTGAATGACCATTGTTCTTGGTGCCACTATATGAGTTGTGTTCCTACTTCAAAGTGGAGCTGCAACACAGAACCTGTTTCCTGTCTGGTATGCATCTTTAACTCTCTTTTGCTATTAATATATCCAAAACGTGACCTTTTTGCTATTAATAATCAAAATTTTCATGAATTATGGCTAGCCTTGTTATTGGGAGATCTTTTAGTTTAACAGCCTTGCATTACCGCAACTGATAAATCACTAGAGCTACATAGGAACATCATGTTTGTCTCCTGTTGTTGATATCTTCAATGAACAGTCACCTGCATGTAAACACTACAATCCTGTAACCATAGATATAGTAAACACTACAATCCTGTAACCATAGATATAGTAATGGAAATCAAAGCAACTCCAAGCAGGCCATAGAAACAGTATATTTCAAAAGAAGTTGTTGCCTTGTTATGCAAAATTTGCTATATGTTAGAATCTAAGATTGGCCGAGGTCAACTCGATTGGCCTGTAATGCCAATAGGCCAAACCACACTAAAAGATTGGGTCGAGGTCAACTCAATTAGGCTTTAATGCGCATAGACCAAATCACACTAAAAGATTGAATCAAATCCATTAGCTAGTCTGACCCATGGGCTTATAAACTTATATGTTTCTCTCATTTTCAATGTAGGACTCTTAACACTGTATAACATGTAACAATAGAAGAATTGGTTTTTTTTTTTTTGGTGAGCAATAGAAGAAGTGTGCATATGCCTAAATCTAGAGATGTATTTACGTGCATGCATGATCTAATGAACTCGAGCTCGATTTTACCCTTGCAGTCGGAGCAAATGGCGAACCAGCTTACCTTAACTTGCTCAAACAACAACAGAACCCGAACATATCAATTGCAAAATCTGAGTACGTCTCAGATTCAAGGGCTATGTGGTCAGCTCTGCCGTTGATACTCCAAATCTTGTTTATAAACTGTCGTGTATTGGTGTTTCTTATATCACACTGTCTGTCTGTAATTGGATTCATTGAAATTGATAGTTTGCAGATGCACTTTGATTTGCTTTATAAATAGACAACCAATCTCCAGTAAATATATTCATTTTTTTTTTAAAAAAAAATATTTTTGTGATATATAGACATATAGTTATGCTATGGTCTTCATTGCGTTCCTTTATTTTTGTCTTGTATAGGCGGAATTGAAGAAATGGCTACTATTGTTCTTGGTTATAAACTTCAAACCCTTTTTTTTTTTTTTTGAATGCTATTGACTCTATTAGATTGTAATATCTGTTCAAACATATTTTCTCAACCTAATGAAGCACAAAGAGTCAACAACATCTCTATTGAGATTCGATCTCATGACCTTCCACATGAAAAAAATCACTACATGTCATCTAAGCACAAGGTGTTTCGCAATTTCAAACCAAATTTAATGTTTAAACTTTTGTACAACATTCATGGTAAACTATTTAGAAAAATTGTTTCATTTGAAAACTCACCAGTGGCTTAATTATTTGTTATCAAATATTGATCATTTTAACCGTTTTATCTAAACAAATCCCTAAATAAATTTTGGTAAACACAAATTTCAGTTATTGTTTTAAATCCAAAATAAATGCTACTTAGAGTAACATGTTTTATACTTTGGAGAAAAATCTTTTTCTTTTCAAAACGCTACAATTATTAATATTACTAAAATATTTTTAAAAAGTAAATTAAAATTTAAAAATAATAATTAACTAAATACTTTCATAAAATAAGATAGTAAATCACTCTTCAATTCAAAAAGAGATATGTGTAAAGGGGAGCATTAAAGCTCCCTTATCATAGAAGAGTGCATGAATCATTGAAAGTAAAATTAGTAATGTGAGATACCTATATTTTTTATTTTGTTTTTCGTTTTTTTTTTATTTATTTTGCAATTGTACTAATAAATTAATAAATCTTAGTATATAATAATTGGAAATGTTATAAATTAGATAATTTTATTTTCTTTTGCATTCTTGAAAATAAATTAAAACAATATGAGAGTTAATAAACAACATAAAAATCGAGAAAAAGTTAGGAATAGCCCAGATGAAGCATCACCCAAAAAAAAAAGAAGATAAAATTATATAAAAAATGAAACAATTTTGTTTGAAAGAAATCGAAAAAATGTAATCATATTAAAAATTAATATTTAAGTGTAAAAAATCTAATATACCTAAAATATAAATTAAAAACTAGATAGAGATAATATTATCCCATAGTTGAAATAAAATACAAATTTTTAATTTTGCATATGAATTATGTTATTTAATTAATTATCTTATCATTTTTAGATGAATATTAAAAGCCACAACAAAAGTAAATAATATAATTTAACATAATTAAATTTAGTAGTAATCTTTCTTCTTCTTTTTTTGAAAGGAGTAGTAATCTTAATTAACCAGACTTTATAAAATATAGTGATAAAAGTTGACAAATCTGTTAATAAATGAACTGTAAACACTACTTCACTAACAACTTGAGAACTAAAAGTGATTATGTCATAATATAGAGATAACATTTTTTTTTGAAATACTCGTAAAAAAAATTGTAATAATAAATTTAGTTGGTTGATAGCGAAATTTGTTATTACATTCTAATATGAATTAAAAGTAAAAAATTTCTAGGTAAAAAAACAAATACAAAATAAGTATTCAAAATTCAAATGACATAAATATCCTTCACAATAATGTTATATATATATATATGTGTGTGTGTGTGTGAGAGAGAAAGAGAGAGAATAACAATACCACCAACTACAATAATAATAATAATAATAATAATAATAATAATAATAATAATAATAATAATAATAATAATAATAATAATAATAATAATAATAATAATAATAATAAAAATAAATTATCAAAATAATAATAATAATAATAATAATAATAATATTATTATTATTATTATTATTAATTACTTAATTAATTTCATTTTTGATCTCATGACTTTTGAGGTCTTATCACTTTTGGTGCATAAGTTTAAATTTTTTCAATTTCGGCATAACTTTGTTATTCTTATCAGTTTTGATCATTCCTGCCGAATTGACAGTGAATATTATCGCATTTTATATTTTAGGGACAAAATAGTCATCCCAAAAAAAGAACTTCAATATCTAAACAAAATAAAAATCATATTAAGAGAAAATAATAGGGTTTGTCCAGCGCCGACGCTATAAATTCCATAGCCACCGTCGCCCGTCTCCAAACCCGGCTGGGTCGCTGCATTGCTCCATCCCACACGATCGAATTGCGGGCAGGGCCGATTCTAAGCATGTCTAACATGTGCGACCGTACAGGGCCCCCAATTTTTGGGGGCCCCATATTTAAAAAAAAAATAAAAATTATATGTATATATAGTAAACAAGATTTCAAGCTAAGTCCTGAGAGATTGGGCCAATTTGTGATAAGGTGAAATTGAGTCAAATTGGCAATTATTTTAAAAATCTAAAAAAAAAAAAAAAGTGTGTGTATGTGTGTGTATTTTCTAACCCCTTATTCCCTTCCCTAGTTTTAGCAATTCCCAATTCCTAAATCTCAATTGACAAGTACCATTGTTAATTAAGATTGACAATTTCCAATTCAAAATCTCAAATAACAATTAGCATCTTCGGATCTTCTGCTAATTAGCAATTACCATTATTTTTTTTATTTTTTTATTTTTTAATTAAATTCCCAAATCTCAATGGACAGTATGGTGATATTGATGAAAATGAATTGTATATTGAGCTAAATTGCTTAGAGAGATTTTATCGAAAGAAAAGATAGGGGTAGTGAGTATATTGAATTCATTAAAACAGATTGGTTGTTTTACCGATGCTACTATTTCATATCGAATATTATTTACTATCCCAATTACTGTTGCCTCTGGAGAAAGGAGTTTTTCAAAGTTGAAATTGTTGAAATCTTACTTACAATCAAATATGTTGCAAGAGAGACTCAATGGAATAGGTTTAATCTCCATTGAAAATGAGCTTTTGAAAGAAGTTGATATCAAAAGTTTGGTGGATGATTTTGCGTCTAAATGTGCACAGCGTATGTCACTTTTTAAATGAAATTTTAGATGTATTTTTTATAAAGTATTTATATTTTGATACAACTATTATTTATATATATAAATTACTTGAGAAAAGGGTCCAAATTAAGATATTGCACAGGACCCCTATTTTTATTGGAACGACCCTGAATTTGCGGTCAGTCTACAAAGAGTAGAGGACGGCTGCCGCCAATCCGCATTGCTCCTCTGTCAAGTTAGCCAACACACTCATAAGCCAAGTCGGGAAAGAGTCGGTCATAATATTTATGACGGGCAACTGAGAAATATTCCATACAAGTCTAGAATAATCACAATAAATTAATGCATGCATAACATCCCCATGAGCCAACCCACAGATCGGGCATTTAGGATTCACCTCTACTCTCTTTAAAAGCAAATTATTTGTGGCAGGGAGAATGTCACATAGAGCTCTCCATAAGAAAGTTTTCCATTTAGGGGGATTTTGAGTTTCCATAATGTAACCCATTTATCAAAGCTACTCGGGTTGTGATCATATTCTCCCATCGTCTGTCTTTAGGCGTTCTTTACTGTATAAATTCCTTTTGGATCCTTGAGCCAATACCACGAGTCCGAGCCCGAGTCCTCATAGTCTGAGCTAATAAGGATTCTGGAAATATTAGCCACATCTTCTGGAATAAAAAGATTAGATAAAATATGAGTATCCAATGAGCCACTATGCTGATCAATCAAACCTGCAACCAAAGCCTCTCTCAACTCATCCGGCATTAACGTTTGTACCGTAGGACTAGAATTATCAGATAACCAGGGGTGTCCCCAAATCAGAGTCGCTTTGCCATTTCTAATTCTCCTGCGAACCCCATTACAAACAAAGCCATGTGCTACCATAATACTGCGCCAACAGAAGTTTGGGTAATTCCCTACAATTGCATCAATAAAAGTAATTGTACAGAAATAACGAACTTTATATACCTTTGCAACTAGATAGTCAAATATCTTATGGGAACCAGAATGGACATAAGATTGAATTAATCCTGGATTTATTTGGGGCTTGAACCCTTTAACTTCTATTAATTCGTATTTAGACTCAGCCCTTCCAAGTACGGTCAATATCATATTTGAAAACAACCCCTTGTAATAATAAAAATTTCAAAGTAACCCTGTTTTGAAAAAAAAAAAAAAAAAAAACTCGCTTAATCGGGCAAGCTGCAATCATCTGGCTGACTGGCTCTCTCAATCCAAACCCCAAACAATTTCTTGAACCAGGTAGTTATAGGTTGTAACCGCCGAACATGGCAGCCCGCGCCATGAATAGCTGCATATTTATCCGCTCCGCAGCGTCGCCTCCGCCGCTGGCGCCGACGTTCTGGAGCTGTTGTCCCCAGCGCCAACTCAGAACGCGGCGGTTTCACAGATACTTAAGATTGCATTCTCGGTTCTCGCTTCCCCGTTGCACGCCTTATCCTCTCAGCCATGACGGTGCTCGGAGCTACTCTGTGCAAAGCCTGGTTGAGACCGTCATAGAAGAGCTCTATTCCTTGCGCAAACGAGGGAGAATTCGTGCTTCTACCGAGTACCTCTCAGTCATTTCGCTGTTTTCTTATCTTTATTAGTTCATTCTCAGCTAATTCTTTCAATTTTGCGAATTTGAAAACCTAACATCACACGAGTTGTAGAGTTGAAGTTTATTGCATTGCATTGAATTTAATTAAGCAAACTGATACGGCAGTCACAGTTATAAGTTATGAAAATGTGAAACTAATCAGGTGATCCAGGTTCATCATTCATACATTCTTTAGTTATTTTGGCTGATGTTATGTTCCTCATGACAGGATTAAATAAATATTACATACACAGTCAACTTAGATTTACATTCTTTGTGGTCAAAATTGATTACTAGCCTACTGCAGATTGGGATTAACCAGCACTAGTGAGCTTCTTGAGGATAAAGTAGGAAAACAAGCAATGCGAAAGGGGTTGCTGCTAGAGTTCAAGAAGGACTCTGAAAGGCTATTGCTAGCAGTTGCTCTTAGACCTGATGGGAAAAAGAATTGGACCGTCTCAGATCAGGTTTACAACAATTATAAGAGGTTGCTAGTAGTCTCACTAAAGTATTTGGTCTGATTATTCTTTGGCTCTTAATGGTGCAGAATGGTGTAACAACCTCAATAAAACCACAGCAAGTTACTTTTATTGTTCCTGGAATTGAGAACTTTGACCCCATCGAGATATCAAACTTTGTCCAGAAAGCTCATAATAACTTGGTTTGTTCCTTATGCAGTCTGGAAAGTTTAAATTGCACTTTCTCGCCCCTTCTATTTTATTACAAAGCTTAACTTTTTTTTTTTTTTTTTAATATAAATAAAAGGATCCAGCACTTCTTGAATTCGCTTGGAATGAGCTTCTTGAAAATAACAAATCTGTTACAGTGGAAGAACTGGCTGAGGTATGCATTTGAAGTGTTTATTATTGAATCCTTTTGTTTGATTAATGACTGTATCCTTTCTTGACAGATGATTTTTGGTAGTGCGGAGCCTCTTGAGAGTTATTGTGCCCATCTATTATTATCTAGAGATGACATATACTTCACAGTTTTGGGGTCTAAAGGTCCACAGTCTATTTATGGACCTCGACCAGTTAGACAGGTACTCTGTATTTTTCTTTGTTGCGACTTCTGATAATATCTGTCCTTTTCTTATTTTCTCACAATTTTGAATTAGTATGTTGACTCAAATTTACTCCCTTTCTATATGAATTACTTAGATGCAAATGGGTGTTTACTTTTTGGAATATGCTGTATTCATTTCTATGGTTTTTTTTTTAATGCATAACATTTTACTTCTATGTTTCACTTTTTCATTTCTCACGGGCAATTACTATGATTCATGAATCATGAAGCTGGGATGTCGAATTTAATTTTTATACTTTCTGCTCTTCTAGTTGGCTATTGGCTTAAGCGTGATTAGTACCCGGCTTTGTAATTCATAATTTCTCATTTTGCTTGGTTTCAATTACATGCTTAAAGTTACTCAATTTTAAAATGTATATTTAAAAAAGGTAGATCAACTTTTACAAAAGAAACTGGCTAAAGAGGCTGAGGAGAAGGAAATTGAGGAGTTTGTTCAGTTGCTAAAATCTATTAAAGAAATGCCTCTGCATGCTAAACCTCCAAACTCTATGTGGAAGACTGAAGAGAAAAACTGGCAGAAAATCAAGTCTCTTGAAGCTTTTGCTATTGATGCTTGCAAAAATGATGATCAAAAGAGAATGACAGGGATGGTGAGATGTTTTATCTCCTGATCTGTTTATTTTTTCAATAACTATATTTGTTTACAAGGCATTTTGTGGAAGACAAGTTGAAATATTTTTGGACGCCAATTTTATCTTGCTTTTTTCGAGTCCATTTTTCTATTTACTTCTCCACATGCATTTCACAAGCTCATACTTGGTTTTTTTTTTTTTTTTTTTTTTTTGTTTTTTTTTTTTTTTTTGTCTTCACCCCATTGTCAGATCCTGAAGGCCATGGGCATGGCAAAAACAGCATCAGCCGCAGTTACCCTTCTTATAGATATTGGATATTTCCCTGTACATGTCAATCTTGATTTACTAAAGCTAAGCATTCGTACTGATCATCCGGATGAGATTGTATTGGCTGCGGAAAGTCTTTTGTTAGAGTCAACTGACCTGGATGAGGTATCTTATGCTTTATATCCTTAAGTTTGATCAAGTTTCAAAAGTTATGTGTTCAGCTTGGACCATTTATGAGTCTCTCTCCATATATGAATTGAGGATATACCATCTGCTTTGAAATATCCACTATAGATGAATCATGAATCCCCTTTTGTAGATGGATAACATTTACTATCCTCATGAACTGAAACTAACTTGAAAAGAATCTTGATGTGATCTTGTGAATGTTTTGGTTGCTCTTTGAAAAGGCATAGAATCATTATGTTATTTGCTTACAAAATCATTTATTTTTAGGTTGATAGAGTAGATCTGACTCACCTGAAGGTTTATGCAATTGATGTTGATGAAGCCGATGAGGTATGTTGTTCTGTTCTTCTGATGTACTATTTCTTTACCAATTATAAGCAATCATTCCAAAAGCACATGCAGCTTGATGATGCATTGAGTGCAACAAAGCTGGAGGATGGCCGGATAAGAATCTGGATACATGTTGCAGATCCAGCTAGCTTAGTTCAGCCAGGGAGCATAATAGACAAGTATATCAGAACTGCATGCTAATTCAGTTACAGTGTAGTTGTTTTTGAGATACTATTCATAGTTATTTTACTGTTTAGAGAAGCAAGGAGAAGAGGAACTTCTGTATTCTTGCCCACTGCTACTTATCCAATGTTTCCTGAAAGGTTGGCCATGCAAGGCATGAGTCTTAAGCAAGGCCAACAATGCAACGCTGTTACTGTATCTGTTATTCTGCGTTCTGATGGAAGGTGAGCTGTTCGAGACCCTTTTAAAAAAAAAAAAAAAAAAAAAAGTGTTTAGGCCTATTGTTTGAATTAAAGCATGTGCTCCATCTCAACTAAAAGCCTAAGCTGAGATGGAGCACATGCTTCAATTTGGTATCAGAGCCAGACTGAAGGTCATGAGTTCGAATCTCCACGTCACTCGATAAGCGACTACGGTCCACGTGTTGCTTGGAACTCACCGCACACGTGAGGGGGCGTGTTGAGCATATAATCATTAATGTGCAATCCAACTATCAGCTTAGGCTTTTAGTTGAGATGGAGCACATGCTTCACCTAGAAATGTGGGTAACTAGGTTTCCTAGGAAATTTGGCACACTTAGATGATCAAAATTTTGAGAGATAGCAGAACTATGTTTTAGAACCTACCATTGTGGGTAATGGGGTTCCCTAGGAAAATTTGGCACGTTTATATATGTTCAGAATTTTGAATGCTATCAGTCTATTGTGGATAAACTATTCCTAAAAAAAATTCATTGCAGCTGCATTTTGAGGTTCCATAATTTATTAGTAGAATTTGTGTGCTTCAGTCTTGAGCACTGAAAATGGTTCTCTTAAATGACCAATAAGTCAAATGTTGTAGGGTTGGGATAAAAGCTTTTTGCACATAATCTTATTGTTTCCTTGTGGATTTACTAGCATTGAAGAATACTCTGTGGAAAACTCAATCATTAAACCAACATATATGCTGACATATGAGAGTGCATCTGAACTTCTTCATTTGAACCTGGATGAGGAGATTGAGCTAAAGATTCTCTCTGAGGCTGCTACACTTCGGTTTCGGTGGCGTCAACAGCAGGTTGGGACTGATGTTTTTTAAAGGTTAATGTTTCTATGTAAAATTTGCTTCTTGAACCATAGAGAGGAGAAATTCAATTTGATTAGTGATTAATTACCTAACTTCACATGAAGAGATATCTTGCTGAGCCACTGTCTTCTAGATTATTGTAGAAAACATCCTTGTTAAATGCACTTAAATTATATACTTGCATTATATTATGGAGTATTAGTTTATTTCATTAGCATCCTATTTTATTTCCTTTTGCAGGGTGCAATAGATGCAAGTAACTTAGAAACACGAATTAAGGTGACCAATCCCAATGATCCGGAGCCATCAATCAAGCTTTATGTAGAAAATCAGTCTGATCCTGCTATGCGACTTGTTTCTGAGATGATGATACTTTGTGGAGAAGTTATAGCCACATATGGTTCTTACAATAAGATACCTTTGCCCTATAGAGGACAGCCTCAATCAAATATTGATACCTCTGCATTTGCACATCTTCCGGAAGGGCCTGTTAGAAATTCAGCTATTGTTCGAATCATGCATGCAGCTGAATTGGATTTCAGGAAGCCAGTACGTCATGGGATATTGGGAATTCCTGGATATGTTCAATTTACATCTCCTATTCGTAGATATATGGACCTCCTGGCTCATTATCAGGTGATTTTATGCTGCATTATGACAATGAATCTTACTGCATTTTTGTCACAGATTTAATTATTACTTGCTATTACTTTTGACTTTTTAAAAATAAATTTTATTTTTGAAGTGAGTAATACAACTCAAATTGTGCGCATTTTGTGGTTGATATATCTTGGAGACACTATACTTGGATTTTCTTGTGATATCTTTCATGTTGAAAGTAGTCTGTTTTCAGTAACAAACGTGTGATGCTTTTGTTTCTTAGACTTAAATAGTTAATCTACAGGTTAAATACTGTTGTAACATGTGTAGTTTTTTGGGTTGTTTTCTTCAATTTATAGGTGAAAGCATTTATTAGGGGTGATTCTCCTCCCTTCTCAGCTGGTGAACTAGAAGGGATGGCATCTATGATTAACATGTACACCAGAGTGGTAAGGAGGCTCTGCAACAGCAGTCTTCGTTATTGGGTATTGGAGTACCTGAGAAGGCAATCAAAAAATACAAAATTCCGTGCTGTAGTCCTCAAATTCATCAAAGACAGGAATGCATTAATACTCTTGTTGGAGGTAATACATTCCAGTTGTTCAAAATAATAAACTATTTATTGCTAGTACTAATGCCCCATCTTTAGTGGCAAAAATGTCAGAAATTTGGCTTCTGGCAAATTGTGCACTTGGTCCCAGCATGATAGCATCTTAGACAGCACTGAATTTCCTATCCCCCAGAAATTTTCTTTTATCATATGAAATATGTACAGTACACATTAAGAGTGATGAAATGGATTATCGAGAATCTTCCTTGCGTTATGTTCTTAAACATGTTTGGAGAAGAGAGATTTGGGAGACTTCTTTTGTCAGTTGAAAGTAAATGAGCTGTCAGGTTTTGTCGTTTCGAATTACATATAGATATCTAGAGTATCTGACATTTTAGGTTAATAGGTAATATTTGAAACGTGGTGAAAGTAATGAAGTTTCTTCATAGATCTTGTAACTTCACCTCAATTGTCAATTTGTCATCAAATGTTTATCTTCTAATTAGGAAGCGATATTCCACCTTAGGAACAAATGTATAAAGTGCTTGCTTATGGTTATCCTGATAAACATGCAAACTAATGATCGTATGCTGTTTGCAGATTGGAACACAAGCTTCTGTTTGGGTGTCTACCGGAGTACAAATTGGGGACGAAGTGGATGTTCGAGTTGAAGAAGCTCATCCACGTGACGACATTCTCTCTCTTAAAGAGGTTCCACGTGCATAACAGTGTTCTTCCCAATATTGATTATGGTAGAGATACAATGTGCAAAAGATTTATCAACCCAACCCAAGCCCAGATGGCCGCAAGAGTTGGTAATACATAGCCTTAAATCGCTGGCATCATTTTGCTGAGATCATTGACCTCAAACAACTATCAAAGCTCTTGCAATGAGGCAATGCAGATGCAACCAATGTGGTGGCGGTTCTCCACCCATCATTTTTGACTGATCATTAATGCTCCATCCCCGAAGGTTATATGCACTGTAATCAGTCCTCCCATGGTATTGGAGTTCATAAGCTAGCTAGCTATGGCCTTGGCGCATATTGGTGGTTGCCAAAATTCAAGGAAATTCTGTCCATTTTGTATAATGTAAATCCAACTTCTTTACTGTATTAAGTGAAAATTTTTGTTCCAATATGCAAGTTGAGAAAGGGGGAGGGGGGCATTTTTTTACTAAATCTCAGGCTATGTATATCATATCAATGGATCTTCTACACAAAAATGTCTGAAATGCAATTGGCCATATCTGTTATAAAAAGTTGTCTTCCAGCAAGTTCGACGCGTCGAGCCAGCGTGCAAATTTTCCAGTAAGCAATTTGGCCGAGACCAGCAGGTCTTGACGCGTCGAGCGAGCACTAGCCGAGATGCAAGAAAACGACGCCCCGACTCGACGCGTCGAAGTCGGGCAGTGCTCGTCCGAGAAATTGAGGACCATGGGCTCGACGCGTCGAGCGAGATGCAGCCCAGGCGATGTTTTCAGCCCGTTTTCGCGCAGAAATTTTCTATTTCAACTGGGTTTGATTCTAGCTCTGTACATACTATATAATCTCAAAGAAGGTTGAGTGGTGACAATCAAAGAAAATACAATTGATAGCATGATGGGATTTTGGATGGCTTCATAATCCACCACCTCCATTTGCTCTACACCAATATAGCCAATAGGGACCAATAGATTAAGCAGAGGAACTTTTTATTTTATATATATAATGTAATACTGTGTATACTTTCCTTCCAACTTTTTGTTTACGTAATTCATTTATTTAGTCATTTAGATTTTAAAAAATGGACAACAGATTTTATTTTTATTTTTTAAATCAAAACATATGGTAAGAGTTTTACTCATTGAGAGTATTTATTATTATTCAAAAGAAGAAAGCTCATAGAAAAACTTTCCACTCTTTTAGAAAAAATGCAAACCGAAAGTGAAAAATCAAAATTATATTCAAGCAGCATTTGTTTATTTGATGTGATAATATATGGGATTCCAATTTGGTGATAAACTATGCTTCTTCTCAAACATAAGTTGAATCTCATTTTGACCAATCACCAATTAAATGCACCAAAAAGACTTGAAAGCATTTGCTAACCATGCTACTAAAGTTGAGGTTAAGTGGTAACATTTGACACAAAAAGAAGATAAAATGAAGTCAGAACTATACATCTATGTCAAAAGAAAAAATATCTATACTTTCTGTAATCTCTGGTAAAATCAGGAAGTGAATCACTTCCAAGCAAAGAAAAGCTGTGCCTTTTGATTATGCATAAAGCGGAGAAGATGAAGGTCTGGGATACTCCGTTATGGGAGCAGGCGCAGCCCGGCAGGACTTCGATTGGCCTTTTAGATGGCCGTGCTGAGTTAACTGCCCCTTGTTTTCTTCGGCTATGGTCGGGTCCTTGGCGTCCTGGAGTTGCTCTAAAGCTTTAACCACCTCGTCCATGTCCGGCCTCAACTTGGGTTCCCCCGATAAGCACTGAAGAGCCAGGTTAGCCGCCTTCATAGCTTTACTGAGTGAATACTGGCCTTCAATCCGGGCGTCTAGAATACGGAAGATTCTGCGTTTGCTGCTCAGATAGGGTCTCGCCCATTCCACAAGACTGTGCTCCCCAGTTGGCCGATTCTTGTCAATGGCTTTTTTACCAGATAAAATCTCTAAAAGCACAACCCCGAAGCTGTATACATCGCTCTTGGCTGTGAGATGACCTAGTTAATCACGGAAAAGGGAATAGGATATGGTTATGAACTTCATTTGCTTCGATAATCACAGTACAAAATAAAGCGAGAAATAATCATATAAGAATACGGTCAGTTTATATATCAAATTAAGAGACCCTATTGCACAAAGATAAACCTGTAGATAAATACTCGGGAGCAGCATATCCATAGGTTCCCATAACCCTAGTAGAGACATGGCTCTTGTCATCGGTTGGCCCCTCTCGGGCAAATCCAAAATCAGAAAGTTTTGCGGTATAGGTCTGTGATTGTGAGGCATAGATATCAGAGGAAAAGCTTCGTTAGGAACGTATCTAAAAGTTCTAACGATTATAACCTGCTCAAATAATGATAGAAAACAAGATACCAAGACCTAGAAAAGTCACGTACCGAGTCAAGCAGGATATTAGAAGTCTTGAAGTCCCGATATATGACTTGAGGTTCCGCATTGTGAAGAAAGGCAAGCCCCCTTGCAGCCCCCAAAGCAACCTTCATTCGAAGGCCCCAAGAAAGAGGTTGATAGAAGGAACCTCCTGATAAAACAAAAAAAAAAAAAAAAGGTATACGAGGTATCTTAAGAATCCATCTTAGATGTGTCCAAAGTAGAGCGAGAACGTATTCCATGATTGAAATAACTGCATATTTAAGTGGATTATGCAGAACTCACTTCTAAATAGATGGTTCTCCGTGCTACCCTTAGACATGAACTCATAAACCAAAAGCCTGTGTTCATCCTCTAAGCAAAAACCAATCAATTTCACTAGATTGGGATGTTGTAGCAGCCCTAGATAGTTTATCTCCGTCTGCAAGTTCAAAAGGCTCAAAAAGATCACTTCCCACGCTTTGGAAAATGTCATTGTATCATATTGGAAAGTGTCTCCGGAAACTGTTGAGCATATAACATATAAACATAAATGTGCAGTCCAACTATCAGCTTAGACTTTTAGTTTAGATGGAGCACATGCTTCAATTTGGTATCAGAGCCAGCCCTATGCCAAAGGTCATGGGTTCGACTATGGTCCAGTAACCAGCTCGCAAAAACTATTTTCAAGTTCAATAAGGTGACATATACTCACCAACCATTCCTTGTGCCCCTGCCAGCCTTCTTGGTTTAACTTTTTAACGGCAATCACAATCCCAGACCCAGGCTTTGCAGCCGCGAGTGTGTGCTCATCAACCCATCCTTTGAAAACCAAACCAAAGCCTCCTTCCCCTACTACACTATCGGGGCGAAAGTTTCTGGTGGCCGATTTCAGTTCACTGAGCGAGAAATTCTTCAGGTTCGGGGATTGCAAGATTTCGCCCACACTCCTGTTTGAAGGTGGAGCAGAAGCCGATGAGAGTCTCCTATTAGAAGTACTAGACTCGGTCCCAGTTCCACTAACACTTCTAGAATTCACCCCTACACAAAACAGCCAAGATAAGCTGTCTTCACATAATCACATCCACAACAGTCTGCAATTTGGGTATTGAAACCAAAGCACAAAATATTGACCCCTTAATCCACACATGTTCAAAGATAAATCAACAGTCTGAGATTGATAAGCAAACCGAACTGCAAAAAAATAATTAACATCTATTTGTTTTCTTCATATTAAGCACCTGGGAAATATTGCATAAAGCAAAATAAATACAAAAGACAAAGAGGCATTCAATAATGTTGACAGAGATTCACAGAATTAGCAAGGAAAAAACAGAACACCAACCTCAAATGATCCAAAAACAGCAATCAACTACTAGATGATCCAATAACATACAAATAATTAAAACAAAATTAAGGTTTAAGTGGTGAAGAAAAAACACCCGAACCAACAAAAAGAGTGGCTGCTGCAGCCTTGATTTGGTTGCTCATGCATATCCCCATAACTTCAAAAATGAGAAACCCTCTCTATCCACTGTCAATCCAATAGATTTTCCTCTTTCTGCCAAAGACACCCTCTCTATCCCTCCCTCTCCCTGTAAATATAATACTCCGTATATTGTGTATCTACCGTATATACATATATTACCATAAATGATAAAGATGCGAACTTTATGGCAAGATGAGTGCAATTTGAGAGAAAGCAATAATGGATAAAAGGAACTTTATTTGCCGTTTATGGGATTCAAGAATTCAGCTTGTCTTGGAGAGAAGCCATTGCTTGAGTCCATTTACAGGAGCTTGGAAGGTTGACTTGGTACGCTTTCTTTGACTCGTTGACTACTGTGAGACCGGCGACACCCGAATGACCCAATTATCATGGATACTACCTCCAACTTTTATATAATAAGAGTTTTGTTTAAAATGATATTCAAATTATATGATGTGGTTAACATGTTATGTATTTTTAATTAATAAATTATGTGCTTCGTTATAATTAACATATATTATATTTTATACAATTAACATAATATATATTTGTATATATTTATTATGTGGTTATGAATTTGCCTATGTTACTAATGCTGACTTCTAGAATTTTAAGCGCGATCTCCATGTATATATTGATGGTTGTGATGCACAATTGGTTATTAGTAAGTTGTCTAAGAAGCAAGAGTAGTGTCCGACATTTTTTATAAGTAAGGTATTACAAGATCAAATTTGAAAATCAGAAGAATATTTACTTTCTTGAATAAAGGAAAAATGTCTCTCTAGTATAAGGTTCGAATCACCGTCCAAAAGACAAAAAATACAGATTAAAACGCGCAACTGAGCAGTGTAGGGGTAATAACATAGGGGTGCCATGGCTTGTTTGCGGACACAGCATCGTTACATGTGTGTCGACGCTCGTAATCAATGATGACCTCGCAACGGGCATGATGATGCCCACGACCGTGTTGGAAAGATGTCATACCATGGTTAACCAAATTTTTCACAATTTCTCCTGCTACAATGTGACATTTTACTCTTTTATATTCGCTGCTTAGCTCCTTAATTTGTCAAAATTGCTTCTTTTCCCATCATTATGTAGGTGATGTAACTATGAATAAAAACACCTCAAATTAGTCCGATTTTCCAACTTTACAAGCTATAATATGCATCAAATGAAAAAAATAAAATAAAATAAATAAAGGGCAAAATATAGTGGGCAAAAAATTTTACCCACTTATTACCACAGATTTAGTGCTAAACGAGGGAAAAGGATAGCCGCCTCGTGTGAGCGTGAGCAATGGGGACAAAATGGTCAGTAGGTCTCCAAACTCCGGTTACCCAAGGCCAATATGGTCCATCTCGAAATATTGAATTTACAATAAATTTAGACAGAAGGATATTAGTCAAAACGAAGAAGAAGAGAAAAAGTTGGCAAGTACGCAATTAACCTTTATCCATTACGCTGATACGCTCACCAAATTCAGATCGTTCCAGATAAATTGCTTAAACCGTCTTATAATACGTATCCAGGGAGAAGAAGAAGAATAATCATTTTCTCGAATTCTATGGATCGGATGCTCTAGAATCACCCGCAACAGCTAGGGTTTCTGATTCCGTGCTTTTTCATTTCGGAGTCGTATGCGTATGCTACGTGTATATCATCATCACACATATGATTGATAGAATGATACAATAATGCATAGTGGTTATACCTAGAGTGACAGTGTGGTTCAAGCTGGGGAGTGGAATCTCCGGAATCAAACTCTGCTGCAATTTCGCCGTTTGGATTAGGTTGATTTTCCGAATGGATATCGATTCTCCTCCATCGCGGACCCCAGAACCCAATATCCTCAGTCGACTGTGTATCCGTGAGGTACTGCTTGTACTTAATTTTCTGTGAAATAACTACAAATTTCGCTCTCGATTGTAGTTTTGGTGAACATCGTGCTTGCAATTGTAGGAAGATTCGTAGATAAATTAGTTTTTGGACATATTCAAAGTTTATGTGATTTGTATTCGTCTTTTCCTAATGGTGCATACTGTTTTGTTTTATAAGGAGTAAATTGGTTTCCAGGCAATTGTTAGTTGCTTTATGAACATAGCATTCATTCATTTAACTATTATAGTTGCATAGTTGTTTGGAGAAGTTTCAATGACTTACAGATTCTCCTGAATTGTTATCAGAGGCTTGAGATACTTGGAGTCCCTAAGGAGAATTTGGAACAACTTCAGCCTGGACTAGTTGATTATGTAAAGAATAATAAGTCTCAAATTGCTGAGATTGTCTCAGCTATCTTGCCTACAGATGATGAGGCAGTGAAGGCTGTTAAAGAAGATGCAGCAGAATCTCCAAAGGCGAGGGGTGGCTCAGGTATTGAAGATTTATACCATGAAAGTATGGTTTGGTTACAGTGGTTGATGTTTGAAGGTGATCCGTGCACAGCACTGGAGCACCTAGCTAGTTTGAATGTTGGTCAACGCGGTGTTTGTGGGGCTGTCTGGGGAAACAATGATATTGCGTATAGGTGCCGGACATGTGAGCATGATCCTACATGTGCAATATGTGTGCCGTGTTTCCAGAATGGTAACCACAAGGACCATGACTATTCTATTATATATACTGGTGGCGGATGCTGTGATTGTGGGGATGTCACTGCATGGAAGCGTGAAGGTTTCTGTTCCAAGCATAGAGGTGCAGAGCAGATACAACCACTTCCAGATGATTATGCAAACTCTTTGGGACCTGTCCTTGATTCATTACTTTCTTGCTGGGGAAAAAGGCTGCTGTCTGGAGAAACTATTTCTATGTCAAGTCCTGGAGCTGATAATCACACTGTTGAGCTTAAAAAGGCAGCAGAAGAGCTGACATCTGTAGTGGTGGAGATGCTCTTGGAATTCTGTAACTCAAGTGAGAGTTTACTTAGTTTTATTTCTGGGAAAGTATTCTCTTCAGCTGGTTTATTAGAAATTCTAGTGAGAGCGGAGAGGTTTATGGGTGAAGAGGATGTTGTCAGGAAGCTACATGAGTTACTTCTGAAACTGTTGGGTGAACCTCAATTTAAGTACAAGTTTGCAAAAGAATTTCTGAGCTATTATCCCACTGTAGTCAATGAAGCCATAAAAGAGTGTATTGATACAGTTTATAAAAAATATCCGCTGCTCTCTACATTCTCTGTGCAGATATTTACAGTGCCTACTCTAACTCCGCGTCTTGTTAAAGAAATGGATCTTTTGGCTATGCTGTTAGAATGTTTAGAAGAGATATTTGTTTCTTGTTCTGGAGAAGACGGTCGATTACAGGTATTGCAATGAGCTTTACGTATCCCCATGAGCAAGATCCATTTGCATAGTATCTATTTGTGCAGTAAAGTAATAACATAACTTTTTTATTGCTGTTCCTGTTTCATGTATGTCTACACATAATTCTATCACATGCAAGCCTCTTCTGAATGTCCCGTTAATAGTCCTATACTCCTTGGCTTTTGAATGATTCCTAAATTGCACTGGAGCCACCTGAACTGGTTTCTATCATTTATATTGAATGAGTTTTCCTTGTTACATCATACCCTAATGCCGGTAGAAGGTTGGTGGGAAAAGTTTCAAGTACCATATATCACTAGTTGAAATTGTAAGGACTAATAGAGGGTGCTGTTCATATCTTCATACTGTTTCTTCAGTGTCCATGCAATTTGTGTTTATCTTATCAATTTATCTTGAACTCACCTTGTATGTAGACATATGCTTGTATGTGCTTTTATAGATTAAAGTTTGACCTTATCCTTTATTTGCAGGTTGCAAAATGGGAACGTTTGTATGAGACTACTCTTCGTGTGGTTGAAGATATCCGATTTGTTATGAGTCATTCTGTTGTGCCGAGATATGTGACTCGTGATAGGCGAGATATACTAAGAACATGGATGAAACTGTTGTCTTTTGTGCAAGGAATGAACCCCCAGAAGAGAGAAATTGGAATTCATGTGGAAGTAGAAAATGAAAATATGCATTTACCCTTTGTGTTGGGTCATTCAATTGCAAACATTCATTCTCTATTAGTGGGTGGTGCATTCTCTGCTTGTGATGAGACTGAAGAGGATGATTTGGTCAACTCATGTATACCAGATTTTGAAGAGCAAGATAGCCAGAGGCATGCAAAAGTTGGACGGTTATCACAGGAAAGCTCTGTTAGTAGTGTGACAAATAGGGGTTCATTTGATCATATGTCTAAGGCTACTGAGAATTCTCTATTTCCACCATCTGTCTTATGGTTAGCTTTTGAGTGTTTGAGGGCTATTGAGAATTGGTTGGGAGTAGATGATACATCAGGACCACTACTTTACCTCCTATCTCGCAATACTAGCCCTAGCTCTGGCAGTAATCTTTTAGCATTGAGGAAAACACTTTCTAAGTTCAGAAGAGGCAGACATGTTTTTAAGTTATACGGTGGACCTCTACCTGTTAACAATAAAGTTACAAGTAAACATCCTTCTCGTAGTACTGTTAACTTAGATTCTGCTCAAAATTTGGACCAAGAAATTACTGGAACCAGTGGTTCTAATGACAGTATACAGGAAGGAGATTATACTCCTGAATTAGAAGCCCTCCGTGTGCTTAGTTTGTCTGATTGGCGTGATATTGCATATACAGTTAGTGTGCAAGATATATCTGTTCACATTCCATTGCATCGGCTACTTTCAATTATTTTACAGAGGGCATTAGGTAAATGTTATGGTGAAAGTGTTGCTTCATCATTGCCCATACATCATGATTTTTTTGGCTATGTTCTGGGAGGCTGTCATCCACATGGATTCTCTGCTTTTGTTATGGAGCATCCTCTTCGGATTAGGGTGTTCTGTGCTCAGGTACATGCTGGAATGTGGCGTAAGAATGGTGATGCTGCCATATTGTCCTATGAATGGTATCGTTCAGTTCGATGGTATGTGAGTTCTTTATTTGATACTTAATAATTTAATATGTTTGCATGCATGAAGAATTAGATATAATTTCTTGTGCTCTTTTCTCTTGGATTGTTCATATGAGGATTACTTACATAGCCTTATTGCTTTCCTTGCTTCTGGTTTTGCAGGTCTGAACAAGGTTTAGAGCTTGATCTCTTTATGCTTCAGTGCTGTGCTGCCCTGGCTCCCGCTGATCTTTTTGTCAAGAGAGTCTTGGAACGTTTTGAGTTATCAAATTACCTTTTATTAAATTTTGAACAGTCTAGTGAGTACGTAATACATTTCTTCTCTTCTGTTTGTGAATGGTGACTTTTACTCTTAATTATGCATTTGTTAATTGTTTTTCCTTAGCCTAGTCTAAATGTCATGTTCACTTTTCTATCACTGAAACTTCTCCAGTGATATAAACCTAAATATTATAAATCCTAAATGACCAAATTCAAATTCTGTTTTTGAAATTTTATGTAGCACACTATAAATAAACCCTAGAATTGCATAACAAAAGCAATAAAATAGATAAGAGAGTTTTGAGAAAATATATTTGATTGAGGTTGGAGTACTAATTGACGTTTTGTGTTGCGAGTAGAAGGCACGTTATAATCGAATGAGAGATGTCAAACATTAATTTTAGGTTAAAAAAAGAGGGGTAATTTTGTCTCAAAGTTATTTTTTTCTTCCTAAAATCTATTGAATTAAAATTCCCTCCAACCAAACGAATGAATTTGCTTGCCTTCGGAATTATGTGGGAATTAGGTAGGAATGGAATTGTAATTCCTTCCAACCAAACGCCCTGTTATGGGCTAAAAGAGCTACCTGGAGGACAATATGTGGATTTCGTGTTGACACACACACACATTATACCATTTCTTTAGGTTAATTATTGTTCTTATAGTGGATGTCTTAGCTCCTGCTTTGATTCTAATCGTTCTATATATGCTGTATATTTTAGTCTGTCAACAACAAATTCCAAATTTCATGTTTTGCCTGAATTCCAAGTTTCATGTTTTGCCTGTTCGTTCACAACTAGGACAATCTAGAAGGCATTAGAAGTTTTTATTCTTAACCTATGATATAGTCATTTCATTTGATCAGGCACCATTGGTCTGTGATGTGGTACATCATTGGAAAACCAGTTCTACTTCTCATCTACTAACTTCTTTTCATTCATTGTTATTGTCGTTGTTGCTACTACTACTACTATTAGTAGGATAATGTTATGAATTTCCTATTGTTTTGATAATAATTTTCAGGTATGAATCAACTTTGGTGCAAGAAATGCTGATTCTTATTATACAAATAGTGAAAGAACGCCGTTTCTGTGGGCTAACTAGCAGTGAATGTTTGCAAAGAGAATTGTTATATCGGTTATCCATTGGAGATGCTACTCGCAGTCAATTGGTAAAGTCTCTTCCTCGTGATCTATCGAAGATTGATAAGCTTCAGGAAGTTTTGGACTCCATAGCTGTGTATTCTAACCCCTCTGGCACGAATCAGGTTTGGTTTGCTGTTTGAAGTTTCATTTGATTGGGTGAAATGATACCATAGGTGAAAGAATGGATTGGACCTATTTTCTCTGTTGCCTTTTCTGTTGCAGGGCATGTATAAATTGCGGAAGCCGTATTGGAAGGAACTTGATTTGTATCATCCTCGTTGGAATTCAAGGGATTTGCAAGTTGCAGAAGAAAGATATATGCGGTTCTGTAATGTTTCTGCTTTAACCACTCAACTACCAAAATGGACGAAAGTTTATCCACCTCTTGGTGGGATTGCACGAGTAGCAACTTGTAGGACAACTCTCCAAATTATCCGCTCTAGTCTAGTTTATGCTGTTTTTCCAAATAAGGCTAATGCTTCTCGTGCCCCTTATGATGTTCTTTTAACTGTGCTGCATTTACTATCACTAGCATTGGACATTTGTTATGTGCAAAAGGGATCTGGTGACCCTTCTTGTTATGAAGGCGATGTGATTCCTCTTTTGGCACATGCTATTGAGGAAGTTTCAATTAGTAAATATGGTGACCAGAGTTTGCTGTCTCTTCTTGTTTTGCTGATGAGGAAATACCAGAAAGAGAATGATTTCATGGAAATTGGAAATTTTAACCTTTCATCTTTGGTTGAAAGTTTGCTGAAGAAGTTTGCTGAGCTTGAACATGGATGCATGACCAAACTCCAAAGCCTTGCACCTGAAATGGCCAATCAACTCTTACAGTCTCTTCCCGGGGGTGATGTTAATGGCTCGGGGTCACTTTCAGATAGTGACAAGCGCAAGGCTAAAGCTCGAGAGAGACAAGCTGCAATACTGGTGAGATGTTATGCTATGGAATTAATGACTGAATTTATTTGCTAATGTTGCTAGATGCAAACATGTCTTTTTGCTTTGTGGGAGCAATACTTTCATTCTTGACTTTTGGTAATTGGACAGTGCTGTTTGTGCTATGCTTCTAGTGACCTTCCGTCTGTTTCTCTACCAGAAATCAGATATTCTGCTTTCTGGCTTTCGTAGGTGCTTGTCTCAGAACAAGGCTAGTTTAGTATGTACTTCTTAGGGGCAGTAAAATTAATTGAGCAAGTGAGACTTCTTGCTTTAATTTATTGTAATATGTAGGAACCTGAACCTGATATACCTTTATATAAGAAATTTCTCCATTAAAAAGTGAGATTCTTATAGTTGTAAATTTTGACAGGTAAAAGTGAGTCTGAAACTATTGCCATAGCTTGGTATCTTTGCTCCAATTTTGACATTTTGGCAGTTCAATACTCGTTGAGAACTCTGACTCATTAACTGCTATTCTATTTGGCATACAGGAGAAAATGAGGGCTGAGCAATCAAAGTTTTTGGCAAGCATTGGTTCCACTGAAGATGCCGGAGCTGATGATTCTGAATTTGTAAAAGAAGAATGCGATGCTGATGTTGGACATACTTCTGAAGAAGATATGTCAATAACTTGTTCTCTCTGCCATAATTCAACTTCTAAGAGTCCCTTATCATATCTAATTCTTCTTCAGGTATATAACAGTTTGACATTCCTGGTCCCTATCTCATAACTAAATTTGGGTGATCATTTGAATTGTCCATGATGCTGATTTTTATCTCAATTCTTTAAACCAGAAATCAAGGCTTCTAAGTCTTGTGGACAAAGGGCCTCCTCTATGGGAACAAACTCGCCGCTCAGGGAAAGAGCCTATGTCCACTGTCGCAAAAACAGTTGTTTCTTCTCCCAGGAGCAATATCTCAAGCAGTTCAGATGTTGTCTCATCATTTCAGTTAACTCCATTAATTCAAGATGCAGTCAATGATTTTGCTTCAGAAGGGCAACCTAGAGAAGTAGAAAGGTTTATGGAATTTATCAAGTCCCATTTTCCCTCTGTGAAGAACATTCAACTTCCTTGCACACCAAACATTGCAGTGGAGAAAATGGAAACTTCTCTCTTCCAGTCATTTGATGAGTACATGTACTCATTGATTCAGGAAAGAATGCACCACAATGTTTCACGTTTAGAAGTTATATGGAGCAAGAGAAAACCTCCATCTGAACAGGACAGTGTGGTCTGCAAGGGAAATGTTGAATCATTTGTGCTTGGAAAATACATTGCTGCTCTTGCTAGAGAAACACCGGATAATCCTTCTGGATCAGGAAATGAATATAAGTCGGTGTCGGAGCCTAGGAAGCAGGTTACTGCATATGATGGCTTTGGCCCCTCAGATTGTGATGGGATTTATCTCTCATCCTGTGGGCATGCAGTGCATCAAGGGTGTCTAGATCGCTATTTACAATCACTTAAAGAAAGGTAAATTTCCTCATCAAGGAATGCATTGGATTGCTATGGTACTTTACGTTTACCATTTTTTCTCCATCTCCTAAAAATATTTTTTTCACTGCTATACAGATATACAAGAAGAATTGTTTTTGAAGGTGGTCATATAGTTGATCTGGATCAGGTACAGACTTCTCTTCATACTGTTACTTTGTTTAAACTTAATGATGTGAAATTGATTTGACATCCCGTGTGGTATCAGGGAGAGTTCCTCTGTCCTGTTTGTCGTGGGCTTGCAAATTCAGTCCTTACGAGACTGCCCAAAGATGTAAAAATAGCACCACCAGTTGATTCATCCCGCTTTATATTAGATTCCAGTGGCTGTTTAGCCTCGTCGAATAGAGTAGCAACTTCACTGCATGTTAAGGAAGCCATGTCCCTCCTGCAAAGTGTGGCTGATATTGCTGAGAGTTGTGAGATTCTTAGAGCTCTTCCAATGCAAGAATATGGAAGGTCAAGATCAAATCTTGAATCTGTTTCTAGTGTACTTGGTGGAATGTACTATCCAGGCGGTGATAAGATTTTGAAATCTGATAGGCTAAGCCCTACATTAATTTTGTATGACACATTTAAGTACTCCCTCATGTCAACAGAAGTTGCTGCTCGATCCAGAAAGACTTCATTGGCATCAAACTGCACCCTTGGTTCGCTGTATAAAGAACTCAAGTCTTCAAATGGTTTTATATTGTCTTTGCTGCTTAGTACTGTAAATAGGACAAGAACAAAGAACTCACTTGATGTCCTTATAAGATTAAGAGGCATCCAGCTTTTAGCAGTGTCTATATGCTCAAGCATTTTTATAGGTGAAAACCCAAGCAATAGATGCAGTGGTATGGCTCCTGTGCTGGTTACTCTTAATTGTTTTTCAAATTCATCCTGTTGTTTATGAGCGATTTGCTAAAAATAAGTTTTGGCGATATGCTTTACAGGTAATATGCAAGAAATCTTGAAACTTACTGATATCGAAGTTCAGTACCCTGATGTGCAGTTTTGGAACCGGGCTTCTGATCCTATTCTTGCCCATGATGCTTTTTCATCACTAATGTGGATAATTTATTGTCTTCCTTGTCCTTTTCTTTCATGCGAGGAGACCTTTTTGTCTCTTGTTCATCTCTTTTATGCCATAACCATAATTCAGGTTTGAAATTTTCATTTATCTGAACTTTGATAAAGTCTAGATTTGAACCTTATATCAATGTTAATATTTTCTTTTGGTTGCAGGGGATAGCAACATACTGCAAAAAGCAACAATTCAGTTTGAGTGAATTAGACCATTATGATGGTCTGGTTATAGATGTCTACAAAGTTATGGGAGACTTAAGAGCTACCGGTGGTTATTTTGATTCTAACCATATCAAAACATCTTGTGATATCACGGAGGCAATTCGTAGCCTGAGCTTTCCTTATTTGCGACGATGTGCACTACTGTGGAAATTAATTCATTCTTCAACCTTGGTTCCATTTAGTGAAGGGTCTTGCATGTCAGATGGATTATCAAAATCAACAGATGAGATGATGCAAAGTGCTGAGGATTCTGCAGAGGATCTCTTAGAAATAGGAAAACTGGAGAAGATATTTAAAATTCCCCCACTTGGTATTGTTCTTAATGATGAATTTTTACGGTTTGTAGTTCCAGGATGGTTCCGTTGTCTTTCCAAGGAGTTTCAAGATTGTAATAAACAGTGTGTTCTGTATTCCACCCCGGCTGTCCCATTCAGATTAATGGTTTTGCCTCATCTTTATCAGGATTTGTTGCAAAGGTTAGTTTCTTTAAATTCCATAAATTATTTATCCATTTTCTTTCAAAGATCCAACTGGTTTTGCTGGTTTTTTTAAAGGTATATTAAGCAACAATGCACCGACTGTGGGAGTGTTCCTGAGGAACCTGCATTATGCCTGCTCTGTGGTAAACTGTGCTCGCCATCCTGGAGAACATGCTGCAGGTTTGGACACATTTTCTGCATGTTACTTTTAATTTCTATGCTCTTGAAGGATCATTGATGCAGTTTGTTCTAATCTCAAGGCAAAACAGTTGCCAAGCTCATGCACTGGCCTGTGGTGCTGGTACTGGGGTGTTCTTGTTAATTCGAGTAAGTTTTAGGATTTTTCTTTTCACACAGCTCTCTGTTTGTTGCATACTTTCATCTTTGCTTTATCATTACCAAAAAAAAAAAAAAACGAACAACGAGGGCACTTCTTGTTGTCATTGTAGAAAACCACAATCTTGCTTCAAAGGTCTGCTCGTCAAGCACTGTGGCATTCACCTTACTTGGATGCATTTGGTGAAGAGGTAATCTGGTTATTTTATCAATAGCTATCCCTGATAGTGCATCTTGATTTTACGTTTTAACTTGAAGTTACATTCCCAATCAATGCTGATCTCACTTTTTTTTCTTTTCCAACAATTTCTAGGACATTGAGATGCATAGAGGGAAGCCATTGTATCTGAATGAGGAACGCTATGCAGCTCTGACGCATATGGTATTTAGAAGCACTATATTACCCTTGCTGCTTTTGACAGTTTTTATTTGCATGCAGTTTGGTGGTATAATTATTTGTAATTGAGATGGATTTTACTTGAAAGAAAAAATTGTAATAGAGACTGAAAAGGTTGAACAAACAGAGAAAATGCCCAAGATCTTGAGAATTGCAAGGATATATCTTTTTCAAGAAAAATATAAAATTTGACATAGTATTTCCAAGAATATGTTAAATATTTGGTTTTTGTTTCTCAGTACATATGATGACTGATGAGCTCATTTTTTCATCTTTCTTCTTCCCCTGAATTAGTTTGACTGACTAGTTCGCTTAAAAATATTACAATGAATAGAACATTTTTTTTCTGTATTTGTAGAGTTTTATGCCCATCAAAATCTTAAGAATGCATCCACAAGCTTCGCTGTAACTGTTACTTAAAAGTAATTCTCTTCTTGCTGCATGCTAACATTGTATCATTTTGTTATTCTAGGTGGCTTCTCATGGCCTTGATAGAAGTTCCAAGGTGCTCCGTCAAACATCTGTTGGTGCCTTTTTCATGCTTTAGCTTCAATCATTGTCATAGCAATGTTCTAATAGAGGTATGTTGCTGAAGTTGGATTATGCAGTCAATTCATCTCACTATTTTCTTTCTTTAACAATTGATATTTATCTTAATTCTATTTTTATGGTACAAGCAGGTAAAAGAATTCTAAAAGTTGTGCCAGATGCTAAGAGGCTGCTGTCCATATTTCCAAGTTTTGGTTCAAATGCAAGAGGGATCCACAAGTGAGTGTTGTCCATTATGGTCACATGTACAGCATATTTAGGTTGGTGGAATTTTTCAATTTAGTTAATAGAGAACTGTTCCCTTTGAGTAATTTTGGTTAGGGTAAACACTTTTTAGTGCTAAGCAATGAAATCTGACATTTGAAGCTTTGAATTTGGCTTATCAAACTACCATGTGATTAGGAATGGCAAAAGCTCGACCCCAACTTTGCCCCCCTTCCTCCCCCTTCAAGGGGTGGGGAACACGGGTCTGACTAGATTTATCAGTTTATGCTTACTGGCCCCCACCATAAATGAAGTACATAAATTTTGAAACAGATAAAACAAGAAACACAATAGTATTAATAATACACTAACAAATATATAAATCAGAAATTAGAGGTTAAAGGGGCAAAAGAGGGGAGAGATTTACACTTGTTTCCATTGATATGCAACCATTGCCGAATACCTTAACCAGCAAAATGTTAGTACTGATGTTGCCCTTCTGATTCTTCTTTTGGCGCCATCTATGTTGCAACTTTGGGAGACTTCTTTATGGTCTTTGTGTGTGTGTGTGTCAGGGTGGGGTGGGGTGGAGAGGGTACTCCCCCATATAATTATTGGGGAAGGTGTTGAGCGTTCCGAGTTCAGCCCTCTACTCAATTTGAGATGTGGCACTGTGACTTACCAATGAGAGATGTGGTTAAATGGTTAATGTCCACTTACTTATCACCAATTAGTTTTAAGTAGGATATGACAACCAGATAGTCAAAGAACTCTATGATTAAGCGATGTTCATAGTGGAAGTTTAAGTATTTGCCCTACATATAAAGAGTTGTTCATAGAGGAAGTTTAAGTATTTTTATACTTGAAGGTATATATGTGCATCACTTTCTTCTTTAAGTAACACATTTTTGTGTGGCAGATATCTACGTGGGAGATATGTCTGGTTTCCTTTTGCCAGGGCACGGTGGCAGCTGGTTTGCGAGGCTGCAAACATACTGCCGCACATGCTGCTACTGTATAGTTGTGCATATGAAAAAAAAAAAAAAATTAGTCTGTCAATTTGTAATCTATTCACCTTCTCATCTCTACGTGAGATATATATGTACTTTAATTTGCTTGGGCTCTTTACTCTTTACTCAACCCGTTTCTTAGCTTTCTAAAATATTGCATTGGTTCCTTATAGTGACAATTTCAGTCCAATCAATAAAAGTCATAAATTTCTAATGCCTAGGGCTGAATTAGCTCTGTTTTTGTGTGTGTGTGTGTGTGTTTTGGTTTTTAAGAAATTTAAATAGGTTCTTTGGAGGTACACAACATAGGCGATGAGTTATTTGATTTTAAAAATATTCTCACTATGTCATAGTTGGATTAAATTTAAAATGTTTACATCGTTGATGTCCGTATCCATTGGAAGGGTTGAATGAATCGAGTTTTAATATAATTTTTTTTACTATTATTTGCATCATTACCAACTTTCATAATCATTTAATTGGTTTGAAATTTATTTGCTACTATTATTTGCATCATTACCAACTTTCATATAATGTCATGACTATTCAAATGATAAATCATTTTTTTTAGTTACAATTTCATCTAATATTATTCCAAATGAATGAAAGTTATACTTGTAACCGACTTGATTTTATATATCACATTCAATAATCACACCATGAAATTTAATTTTATTAGATTATTATTATAATAATGAATTTGAGTTAATATCATCTGAGGTCCTTCGAGTATACTGGTTTTGTCACGTTTAGTCCTAAACTTTCAAATTGACCATTTGTGGTCCGACCATTCGTGGTACAAGTTAACCACCCATGGTCCTTTAAGTTTTTAAATTTAACCAGTAGTGGTCTTCATGAAAGGATCATGGTTGGTTAAAATTTAATAGTTGAAGGATTATGTGTAGTTAACTTGGACCACAAATAGTTAAGTTTGAAAGTCGAAGGAGTATGGTCAATTTGAAAGTTTAGGACTAAATAGAGCTGGCCAAAGTCCGGGTCCGGTCCCGGGCCTCGGCCATCGCAGTTCGGGACTGGTCATGAATACCAGGACTAGTCCTGTGCCTGGGCTCGGACTTTTTGTGGGCCGATCCTGGGTTACGCCCATAATTTATTATATTGTTTATTTTTTTTAAATATATAAATTTTTATATAATTTGATATATTTTTGTTTAAAATAAAATTTGAATCTTTAACCTTTTAATCCTAGTTACCAATTTAAGTTCTTTCCAATTAAGCTACCATAACCTCTTGATATATTAATAATAATTAATGTATATATACACATTACACACAGTCACACACTTTTCTAAGATTAATATTTTTGTTATTAATCTCAAAATTTAAAATTAACATGATTTTCTACTACATTAAAATTTATAAATGACGTTAAATACATTTGAACTTGTAGTCTTGTACTATTAAAACTTTATATAAGACTTATTGAATTAATATTATTTGATAACTTATAAATATTATAAACTGGGTATAGTTTATAAAGTTCATTTGATTTACTCACTAAATTATGTTAGAAGATAAATTAAAAATTTTTAAAAGACTTTTAAATAGGGTGTGCTTTTAATTTATGGAGAATTACTGTGAGTAGAAGTAAGAAAGTGTCGGATTAAGAATTTTTGTGTGATAAAAATAAATTGGATAAGAGTAATTATAGAGTAAAATGGTAAATAAAAAGAAGAAAAATAAAAAAAATTTAGCCGTTGCACTAGCCAAGAGGCGAGAACAGGAGTAGCCTCTACCGGAGGCCAAGTCTAGTCTAGCCACCGACAGAGGCTACATGCAACGACCAAATATATTTGGTCGTTGCACATTGCATGAATGAGTAGTAAGTAATAAGTCTAACTGCCACAATCAAAATTACTAAATTTTTTAGAATTATAGGCATTTAGTCATGGAAGCAAAGCTAGCATGCTTTGCTGCCATGGCTGTGTTTGCCCGGGCCTAGGCCCGTGCCTGGGCCGGTTAGGGGGCCTGGGTTGTGCTCGGGCTTGGGCCATGGGCCGATTCCGTGCTGGGCCTCGAATTTGTTTTAAAAGGACCTGAACCGGCCCTTAACAAGGCGGTTCCGGTTCGAGTTAAGCCCGGCTCAGGCCCACTTTTTTTCGTGCCGATTCAGAGTTGGTTCGACCTTGAACCGGCCCGTGGTCACCTCTAGAAGTAAACATGACAAAATCACTATACTCGGAGGATCTCAGATGGTATTAACTCTAATGAATTTTATTATGAAATAGTTGAAAAAATGGAACATGCTTGTTATGTCAAGATTGTGAATTCTTTATTGAACAAAAACTAGATTAGAACTATCAAATTTGCTTTAATTAACCAAGATTTCAATTTACTAGATTAGAACCATAAATTTTGCTTTAGCTAACCAAGACTAGGAAAGAGAAGTGATGTACAAGCAAGTTCTAATCCATTTTACATGCAAAACAATTAGGGATGTCAATTTAGCCCGAACCCGATGGGCCAACCCGATAAAAACCGAAACCGAGCTATGGCCCGAACGGGCTAGCCCGATAAAACACATTAGCTCGACGAGCCCGAAATCGATTAGCCCGATACCCGATACGGCTAGCCCGAAATTAAAAGGGCTAGCCCGACAACCCGAACTATTGAAAATTATTTTTTATTATAGAAGTGATGTGAAACCTAGCATACATAAAATAATTATTATAATTAAAAAGAAATAAATAAATAAATACATATATATATATATATATATATATATATATATATATATATATATATATATATATATATATATAATAAGTAAAGTAATGCTACTGTACATTAGCATTACTAATATATATATATATATATATATATATATATATATATATATATATATATATATATATATATATATATATATATATATAACTAAATGCTACTCCCGTTTTGCCCCGCCCCGTTATTATTCCTACTCTAAATATGAGTACTCACTTTCAGTTTTTAATTTTAGTTCAGATTGTTCAACCCGCCCGATTAGCCCGACAACCCGAAGTTTAAGGTTAGGGCCAAACCGAACCCGAGAATAAAATATTAATTAACCGATTAGCCCGACAACCCGACAGGATTAGCCCAAAATCGAATGGGCTGGCCCGATTGACATCCCTAAAAAAATCATAGAACTCAAGTCAAATAATTAGTTGTAGAATTGCAACAACAAAATGACAACATCTAGTGTATGAAGCTGTCCATAATGGAAAATTTTCTATGGACCATGGTCTACACAACTTGTGTGAACCATGAATATAAGGTACATTTTTAATATACTAAAGGTACATTATCTTATAGTATATATAAAATAATGTACCTTTAGTAATAAAATAGTGTACTCTCAAATAATGTACTTTTAATATACAAATAATGTACCTTTTGTATATTAAAAATGTACTTTATATTTATGGTCCACACAATTGTGTGGACCATGGTCAATGCAATAATGATTGGTCCGTAATGTCATAGGCGTCTAAAGGGATCAATACGAGCTGGTCTGCCCCATTAGTCCCGTTTTACCGCAAATTGTAAATTTTGCAAGTTTTACAGGTTGACCCACGAACCCGCAAGTTAAAAAATTTTAGCCCTAACCTGCCTTATGTGGGCTTCGGACTCCCCGGGTCAACTTAAAAAAAAAAAAAAAAAAAGACTTTTAAAAATTATTATAATATTATTCTATAATAATATAATAATTTGATGGAATAAGGGTCAAATGGGCCGTTCAACGGCACACCAAAGTGCAATTAGGTCACTGAATCATACAAATTCATGCAATTCAATATAAAATTACCTGTTTATCTGAAGTGACGGTTATCAATTTTAAAAATTATTTTTAAAATAATTTTAAATAAATTAATTAATTAAAATTTTAAATAAAAAAAAATGGCCGGGGATGATTTCGACATTTCGTCTCCATGGCTGGAGATGAAGGGAACCTTCGCTGCTTCGTCTCCATGACTAGGAGACGAAGGTCTTCATCTTCATGGCCGGAGATGAAGCCGACCGGAGACGAATCGTCTCCGACCGTTCTCTCTTTTTTTTTTTTTTTGTGATTAATTATTTTATTTAAAATTAGTAATTACAAGTCATTTTGGATTCAATTGCATAAGTTTGTATTGTTCAGGGAACTTTTTTTTTTTTTTTGAATGCTACTAGCTCTATTACAATGTAGTATCTGTTCATATACTTTCTCAACCTACTGAAACACAAAGAGCCAATAACGCCTTCACTGAGGCTCGAAATCACAATCTTCCAAATGGAAGTCCAACCCGGATACCATTAGACCACATAATCCTGGTAATTGGAGTACCTATTTGACCCTTATTCCTAATTTAATCTAATATATATACACACACAATATTTTGTAAATTTGATAGTTAAAAATTAAAAGAAATATTTTTACTATAATCGAATCTAAAAAAACGATGGGTACTCAAAAATGGAGCGGAGCACACATTGTTATATACTAGTTCATAAGGGTGAGACAACACAGGAATTAGAAGCATCGTATCTTGATGAAGGAACAACGAAACACACGAGTACATGACAAATTTAAAATTTCTATTAAAATCATTCGCTAATAATAATTACTTTACATTGCAAGTAAATGAAGTAATATGGTCTGACATTTTTCATCAAGAACACGTTTTTTTTTTTTTTCCTAAAATGAATCTTGAATATGTTTTCATTGAACTTTCCTTTAGGAAGCATTATTACCAATTATTAGTCATGAAAAATGATGGGTAAGGACTAAGGAGAATTTCCTAGTGCTGGTAAAAATAACTAACTCACTATGGTATATATAAAAAAAAAAAAAAAAAAAAAAAAAAAAAAAAAAAAAAAAAAAAAAAAATCATTTGGCTAACTGCTAACATCTGGGCAGTGAAGTGTTTTCTGAGTAGTTGAGAAAGCTTCATCCATTGCATCCCAACACAGAATCCATCTCGCATTCTAAACAAAAAGATGACAGTAATAAATATTTCAGTCTAAGAGAATCACTACATCCAGTTTACGCAATAATGCCATTCTATCCTTATTTCAGAAGAATCAAATTGATACATGATTAAAACGTGGTAACAAATTGCTGCTTGAGAGTTGAGACAGCACAACATAGTAGGAAACAAACTCCATTTTCTGTTAGGATATTACCTGTAGATGGGTGGGAAATGTGGGATTCAATGCACAGGGCCACAGCGTTATGTAGGGTTTATTAAAATGTAACGATGTTAAACCGCAAGGCTGTTTACCATGCTTGGACTTATGATAAGAAACGAGAGAAGAGCTGAAGTGTAAAAGAATGAACTTACACTAATCTAGGTGATGGGCATCTTTGTTTTATGAGGCAAATCCTTGGTCGCCTGAGAAATCTGTTTTACAGTTGAATTGCTGGATGTGGTAGTATCATCAGACTCGAATGCAAACTCAAGCTGCTTCTCCACAGACTTCAAGACAGAAGTACGTTTTGATTTTAACCGATATGGAGGAGATGCATTATAAACGTGGGTGCTGTTCAGTCCACTGTTATTATATGAAGAATTCCGAGACGGACTTCCATCTTGCAGATCAGAGTTTTCTGACATGTCAGTCCGTTGCTCCTCAGAAGATGTACGGGGTGTACGGGGATTCTTACCATCTACAACCTTTGATGGTGTGATTAACCGAGCATCAGTTTTTCTCTTCCTTAATATAGAGGGTGTATTTGGGAAGCTTTGGGCAGCAATTTTTAGTATAGACTCGGGGGTTTGTCCATACAAATTGCTCCCTTTACTGCTGGGTGGTGTTAGAAAAGTAGCAGGTGGCAAACTAGGACTTTGCGGAGATTCATGATGTGCCCAGGGGAGATTTTGATGATTTCTCTCCAGCTGAACATAATGTGGGGAATCATAGTACACAGTAATGCATGTAGGGATACCAGAAAACGCCAACTTATGTTGCCCATTTTCATCACTAACTCTGCAGCTCTCGAACTTTAGATCTGTACTAGAAATAGCATGAATTGTATCAATCCGTTGAGGACACACTGATGACTGCACCTCATATCGAGCACTTCCAGAATTACTAGTTGAAGCACCCATGTTCATAACCGTGATTGGTGTCCTGGGTTCTTGGTGAACCTTACCGTCTACTTGGAATATACATATATCTGTTGTTGCTGGTGACTCCAGGCCAGTTGAATCGGATTGTTTCTTTGAGCACTGAAGCCGCTTATTCTTTGTAACTGTTCTACTGATATCTTTACAACTATTTTGGTGGCCATTCTTAGCAGCAGGTGGTAGGTTTCCTGTAGCCAAATAGAAATCCATTTTTTTCTTCAAAGAACTGTTCCAGTGATTCTTTATTGCATTATCAGTCCTGTGCAAAAAGAAGTCATCAATATCGGCAGCGAGGGAGAAAGCAGACTGAAATAAACTATAGAGTAGAAATTTTTCATGTATTATCCATTGAAACTAAACAAATTGATTAGGACTTGTTATCCAGGTTAAAGCTCTAATTGCCAAATCCCAACCATTTATTACTACCATCAGCATTCTACATAGCTGTGTTTAGCTATAGTTTGGATCAAAGGATCAAGATGTCTTTAGACGGTGACATTAAAATTGCCATCACAAAAGAAAGAATGCATAGACTGAATACCTTCCAGGTAGGACCTTTGCTATTTTAGCCCATTTATTCCCATTGACATGATGAGCATTAATGAGTGCTAGCTCCTCCTCTAATGTCCAAGCATCCTTCTTTATATTAGGATTCAAATGATTGTGCCACCTAAAAAAAGTTTTAAGATAAATCATCAAGCTAATGCACATAGAAGAAAAATCTTGGAAGGTTATTTAACAAAAAAAAAAAAAAAAAAAAAAAAAAAAAAAAAAAAAAAAAAAAAAAAAAAAGAAGAAGAAGAAGAAGAAGAAGAGAGGAGTTTTGAAGTAGTAAGCTTAAATACTTAAGTAAAGAAGGTTTTAACGTGATGATGAATCAAAAAAGATACGCAAGTACACAATACAAAAGAAAATACGAGTACAAATTTTAAAATTTAAATCCATTACATCTATGTTATGAAAGCTAACGCTTAAAGACAAAATACATGCTTCCACAAAGATACCCACACAACAAATACAAATTAAATCATGATTGTGTAACAGTTGAGTGTGTTTAAATAAGCAAGTTGTTTCAAACACATAGCAGTTGCAAAAAAAGACACCGGCACAAAAATACAAAACCAAAATGTGGTTATGCAACAACTGAATTATATTTAAATAGATTCAAACACATAGCAGCTTCGTAGGATGAAATTCCTACAATCATAACAAAGATACTTTAGACTTCAAAATGAAAAACTAATAATGATCCATGCCTTAAATGGAAACTAACTAAACAAAAGAGAAAAAACTAAAAAAGAGAACATTCAAAGTGCAGAAAGATACAAAATTCAAGATAATTCTCTTGAATAGGAGATATATGCCATTAATGGCATTACCTCTCTCGGCATTGTTTTCCTATTCGACCAGGCAATGACTTTGCAATGACAGACCATTTTGTAGCCCCATACTCCTCTACAAGTTCAATGATTCTATCATCCTCCTGTAAGAATAACAGCCAAAATTTTGTAGTTACAGATTTGAGAAAACCTCCATTAATGGGGCTGATACCAATGCAAAAATGAAGCAAAAACTAGTATTGACCTCCTGAGTCCAGGGACCTTTTACAAGATCTGGATTTAGAACCTTTTGCCACCGATGCAGGCATTGTACTTCTGATCTACTGGGAAAGAATTCAGCTGAAAGAGATCAAGTATCAAATCACATTCTTATTACATATTAAAGCATAAAACAAAAATGTACACCACAGGCATATATAAGAGAAAATGCAGGCAGCAGATGCAAATTACCTATTTTCTTCCAACACTTCCCATTGTATGCTGCAACAGCCTTCTTTAACATATCATCCTGTAACAAATCATCATGATGTACTTTAAAAAAAATGTAGAATATAATAAAAACAATGCTCTAAATGCATAATTAATGAGAATAAAAGGCTTGAGGTGGAATAAATATTCCTCCAAAAAAATCCAAAGGTAGTTCATTTTTCAGATTATTATATGTTCATTGAAAGAAACATGCTTACCTCCTCAGGAGTCCAGCCACCCTTTGCTCGTCTTATCGGACCACTTGCTCTCCTAAAAATTTGAATTTCATGTAGCAATAGTTAATCATTAAGTTATAACCAAAAGAATAAGTGTCCTTTCTCTATCCATATAAAAAAAAAATACTTAAAAGATCAAATTATTTGACCACACAACCCAATGACATTAATGATACATGCACAAGCATTTCAAATGATAGTGAATCTGAATTGTGAATTCATATAGCTGAATAAATATATAGAGGGAAGAATGGGGCAGCTGAAACTTAGTGGGATAAGGATAGCATTGATCAAGACATATAGCCTAAAATACCATATTGCACTTCATTATAAGCTTTAGGTGGTGATAATACTGTTTTATCATTCGGTTGCTCTTTTATATCAGAGCTCCCCAGATATTCATTCTCAAATTTAGATTCTTTTCTGGGAATCATCTAATTTTAGGTGTTGAATAAAAAATATCTATCACAAGCATGCAACATTGTATGCGCCCCAATATAGTTCAGAGCCTTTGGCAAAGTGCCAAAGAAAAGGTAAATGCATTTTCTTGGTAATTATTATTAGAATAATATAATCCTAATTTACAAGACACAACGAGAAGGCTTCTACTATTCTAAGCATAAAGAGAAGAGGTCAGTACTGATGCGAAGGTGACGACGGCATGGGGCTAGAGATCCCTGGTGACTTGAAGTTAGTACTCCCACTATTCTCAGAAGCTGAAGAACTTGAAGCAGCTGTTGATTGCTTATTCTCCACCCAGCAATCCTCTGTTCTAGCTTGATCCATCTTAGGCTCACACCTCAACTTTCAAAACTCAATACTGAATGAGAAACAATCACCAGTATGAAAACCACAATTCAATAAAAACATCAACTCTTAAACAAATTCCAATTCAACAATAACTAACTGAATCCACCTAAAGCTCTAAAACCCTGACAATAACTAACTTAAACAAACTCCAGCACGTAACCAACATATCAAGCTAAATCCAGATCTCAAGACCTGATCTTCAGATCAAAAATAAATTAACCAAACAAAACCAAACCAATAAAAGAATCCCTAGCCTTCACCTACCAATAAATGCAACAACAAAAACAAAAATCCCCTATCCCGACTAATCAATTGAGGATAGTTTAAATAGCCACAGTTTAACCAACCAAAAAATCAGTAAAATTCACTCTCTGGAAATCAAACAGAGCTCTTTCAACGCAGTTTCAAGAATTCAACGGTAAACTAACCTCAAACGGGAAGGAAAAAAATGGCGGGAATTCAGTTGGAGCTCATCGAACCGAAATCCTCGGAGCACATGAAACCTCAGAGTCTTCTGCGTAAAAATCGAAAAGGAAAACAATTGAGCTTTCGCTTCGAAGAAGAAAAAACCTCGCCCGTTGAATGAGAATAAGAGTAAATCTTAAATATATATTTGTGCGTTAAAAAAGGTTTTGTATGTAACGGATAGCTAAAGGTCACCGACGGTGCCGTCTGTTGTGCCGTTAAGTGTTCGGGTTTGACGATGGGGAGAGCGACTACTAGGAGGTTCCGTAACGACGCCGTTAACAGTTTCACCCAAAAATAATAATAATAAATAAATGAAATATGGTTAAATTGTCGGTCAAGTGCATGGTGTGTAATGCTTCCCGGGCAATTTTAGCCGTTGATTAAAATCAACAATTCGTGTTTGATACGTTTCTAAACTCGAACTCTCTCTTATATTTTTATTAAAAAATAATAATTTATTATTATTATTATTATTATTTATTATTTATTACGGAGTATTTATTACTAACCTAAACTCCAACCAAGTTCTTTTCACAAAAGGTTGAACATTAACACCAAGGACCCCACACTTTGACCCGACAAAATATTTAGAAATATGTAAATCACGATGACTTAATGGCTCACTAAACATGACCAAATATTAAAACGCACAAAAAAATTTATCCACTTTAAACATAATCCCCACATTACTCCTACCGTACTCCAACCAAATTCTAATTAGAAAACACTCTCTCAGTATTTATTGTTAGAACCATACGTTTCTAATTTTCGAAGTTGAGATTTAAGATTTAACTGCTGAAGTGCTGAGATTTGTGCAGTGATTTAAGCGTTGTTTGGAAATACGAAATACGATTTCTGAAAAAAAAAATAGTCTTAAAAAAATTAATTTATTTTCTAGTATTCGACTAGGGTCATAAAATAATTTTTTATTTAGTTAAAAAAAATTAGAATTTATATTTTCGTTATTTAGTTTATTTTTTAAAAAATACAAACATAAATCTATTATAAATATTTCTTATAAAATATTAATTATTTTAGAATTTTAATGATAATAATAATTATTATTATTATTATCTACAACTATAAATTAAAATTTATAATATTTATCAAGATTAATAATAATAAGATGTAAATAAATACTTTTTAAGTTGTAACTTATATTATAAAATAAGGATAAATACATAAATCCACAAATATAATAATTATAAACATTGATACTTTCCCATCAATTAAATTCTTGGGAAAAATATTTGGAAATATATTTGATGGGATAACTTTGCAAGAAAAATTAATTAATATGTTTGGTTTTACTAAGAAACATACAAATTAAATTAACTACAAAATTAAGTAAGATGTTTGGTTTGTTTTAGTTTTCTTATTTAAATCTCCAATATAGCATTACTATATACAAACATTAAAAAGAAAAAATATAATGAAAAAGTGAGAGTTTAATAAATCAGTTGTAAATTAATAAACTATATGCCAAAAAAATCTAGTCTGTAGCATGAATATTCAAAATTCAAAACAATATGTAAGTTGATAAATACAGTTGTTATCCTTCGTAACGGTAGAAGAGACAAATTCATTATATTTTTAAGAGACGTTTAATCTAGCACCAAAAAGAATAAATATGTAACTAAATAAACTTGGTAAATTCTTAGTCACTTGAAAAAAAAAAAAAAAAAATCATACATCCCCAAATTTACTTTGCTTCCTTGATATCATAAAATTAGATTTCCATTGACTCAAACTTTCTTAAATCAAAGATTTCACCAAAACCTAACAAATACAATTCATATTGCAAATATAATTGTAGATAGTATTGACAGTTGGAAGTAGTTCATTGTAATGTATTCATCAATTAATTAACATTGTACATATACTTACATATGTATGTTACTCAAGCACTGCCACATGAGAGCAACAATAAATTCAAAAGTGTAAGGTTTAGGCAAGCTGCATTTATTCATTCATGTTAATACCAAAATCAGAAATACTGCCTTCAAATAATACAGATAATGAAACTGAGGCAAAAAAAAAAAACTTTTCATTCTTTGGCGCCTGCCATATATGGATTTCAAAGAAACAAGACTAGTCTCGAACAATCCAAAATCATTCTCGGGAAAAAATAACCATTTCCTTCCCAATAAATCCAAAATCTATGAGGGAGAAGGCAAAACTCCTATTAAGAGACCATTTTATGCAAACTAGAAATCATTGTCAGAAACTGGAGGATGTATATCTCAATCTTGGGTAGCTGCGCCTTGGTTGAGCTCAGCAAATCTCAGGCCAACACGCATTGAATGCTTCAAGAACTTCTCAGCACAACGGCGCACGCAGGTCTCCTCTTGTTTGTCCAAAGTTTTGCGACGGAACGTATCAACACAATCAGTGAAGCATCTCTCCACCAGGTTGTTGTACATCCGTAAGCTGCAGTATCCACCCAAAAGAAGCATAAAGATCATAATGGTTTCAGTTTTAACTTTTAAGGATGTGTTGAAATTGCAAAAGCTTGCACAGCACATTGTGTACATGGAAAAAACACACTTCAACAGAAAGGCCAAGTCTAGAACAATTTAGTTATTCAAAATGCATCACAGCCACAAAAAGAATATCAGGAAGTGGATAAAATTCAGATGTACCAGTTTCATAATATCAATTAGTATAACTGTATAAGTAATGCAAAATAGAAAACCACAACAAAAGGACTCAACAGATGTTCTTCAACTTATAAAACAACCAGATAAGTCATTTTTTAAAGTACAAGTAGGTTTCATCACCCTTACACAAGAATCAAAAGATCCCTTGCTTGGTAATCCAGACTTATAAACCTCCTAGCTTCTTTCACATCATGCACACGAATTTGATCATTTGCAAAAATAAATACTGTCATTTAGAGTTCAATACAAACCATTAAGTTGAAGACCGACAAAATGTGCTCATTTCTTCACCTTCAATATTGTAAGCCAAGCTTACTCATTGGCCAATCACCCAAGCATTACCCTTAATTATAAAACAGATTTTATTCTACAACTACAAATGCAACTTGTGCAAAATATACAATATGACAGAATTTTAAGATGTACAGAACAGAATTTACATAAAGCACTTTGATAACTACCCTTTCTTGTCCCCAAGTGAGTCCAGCATGACATAACAAGTATGCCTTATAAAATTGAGTAGAGAATTCATTCAGCAAGACTTAATATTATATATCTCCATTATGCAATAAGTAAAGAACTCTTGGAGCATGAAGTTTCTGAGTTGAGATTAATGCTTGGTGACAAACAAGAATTAGCAGATAGCTGCTAACCTGATTTATTCATTCCTTTCAATACAATTGGTAACACGGCACAAAAATCTGTTTAAGCAACTAAGACTAGAATAATTCCTCTTATCAGCCTATGAAATTGTACCCAACTGACGGCTAATCTGAATTGCATCTTAAATTTTCCCAACCGATCAATCCAGGCTGAAAATTTATGCGGCCAACTCAAAAGGTGTGATAAAATTTACACATCTAATAAATCACCATTGTTAAAATGCCATTTACATTACTATCGCTCATATCAGTACGAAATCCCCATTAGTGAAAGTAAACAACAGTTATAGCCAAAATAAAAAATAAAAAATCAAGAACATGACGAACTACTCGTATGCCATGAAATTAATAAGCAAATCGACACATACACACATACAGAGAAAGAGAAAGAACCTGTCACGGATTTGGAGTTGGTCAATCATGGTGGCCATACGCATCTTATCTTCCTCGGGAAGATTGTCCATGTCGCCAATCATGCTCTTGTCCATCCTGCTTGATCGCTTCTCGGATTCACTGCTAGGGTTTTAGAAGAGAAGACGGGAAGACCAAAGTTTGTTTTGCTTTCTTGCACTGAGGAGGAAGGCATCTAAAACCAAAAACCCTAACGATTTTACGGAGCGGTCAAGTTCTCTCGGACTTATTTTGCTAGTAGGTCCTTAGTCTTCAAGAAATTGCTTTCATTTCCTTTATTAATTAACTACGGAGTACTACACTACTACATAAGGTTTGTTTATCACTCGATCCCCTCGTGGCCTCATTATTTAGCCTCTTTAATCCTCAAATACAATTTATAATTGGCAGAAGTGTCAAAAGACTTATTTACTAGTGCGAAGTGCTTAATTTTTACCACGAATTAAATTAAAGTCTAATCAATTACACTTATTAATTAAATTTGTTCGATTAACTTTTTTTGCAGGTTGCTAACCGATTGCCTATTTAATTATTTAAATTAGAAAAAATCAGCCACCGACTATCCGGCGATGACAGCCGGTGGCTGCCTATTTCACTGACAGCCGGACATCCATGGCTATTTGGGGACGGCCATGGCGGTCCATTGCCGTTTAGAACGAGGGCGGTGGCCATCCGCCGCCCTCATTCCAGGCCGTTTGAGGTCCAGATCTGGACCTCATGTTTGACAGACGTGGCTATCCGGCTGTCCTCGCCGGATTGACTGCTGGTGGCTGAATTTTTATTTTTTATTTTTAATAATTGAATAGGCAATCGGTTAGCAACCTACAAAAAAAGTTTATCGAACAAATTTAGCTGATAAGTGTGGCTAATTAGACTTTAATTTAGTTCGTGGTGGAAATTGAGCACTTCCCAGTAGTAGATGAGCCTATTTGACACTTATGTCTTTATAATTTTAATGAGTGAAGGTCAAATAGATCATCGGACTATACACAAAAATGCAATTAAGCCATTAAACTTACAAAAAAAAATGTAATTGAGCCTTTGAGCAAAGCAAAATGATGTAATTGAGCCAAAAATGACCTAATTACTTGTTAGCTTACTGGTGTGGAGTTTATCATATTAAAATAATAATTTTTTAAAAAATTTTAATAATTTCAAATAACAAAAAGTAACAAAAAAAAAAACAAAAAAAAAACAAAACAAAAACAAAAACAAGTTTTCCGCTTCATCTCTATGCCGGGGACGAAGAAAACCTTCTTCGTCTCCATGCGAGAGACGAAAAGAACTTTCTTCGTCTCCGGCCAGGGACGAAGACTCTTCGTCCCCGGTCAGAGGTTCTTCGTCTCCAAGTTGCCGGATACGAAGAACCATTTTTCGTCTCCGGCAACCTGGAGACGAAGCGGCATTTTTTTTTAAATTTATTTTGTTATTTGAAAGTATTAAAATAACAAAATTAAATATTAGTAAAAAGTTGTGTGAGTCCGCCTCACGAATCCTTGTATGTGAGACAGATCGGGTCAATGTGAAATGTAATACTTGTACTAACAAATGTAATACTAAATCATGAATAAAATGTTTATTACTTATATGAGAAAATATAATACTTTTACATTTTAATGTAAAAGTATTATATTTTTTTTATTAAAAGTATTACATTTTCCTTTATAAGTGCAACATTACTTAGAAGGGACAATAAAATATTTTGATAAAAAAAGTAATATTTGTATATCAAAATATAAAAGTATTACACTTGTCTTCAATATTATGTTGTCCTTATAAGTAATGAATATTTTATTTATAATTTAGTATTATATTTACCCGTATGAGTATTACATTTACCTATTGATCTGACCTGTTTTATGAATTATTCGTGAGACCGTCTTATACAAGTGTGATTCAGAAAAATACAGAATTGATTGTTAAGCCCGTGGACAAACAATAATTTACAAATAAGTTGTACTACATATACTTTCAAATTTTACTATAAATGTGTCTATATCAAAATTTGAAATGTAAAAGTAAAAATTGAAAGTATAGGATGTAGATATATTATTTTCCTTTCAAAAAATTTTCTCCAACAATGTCCATGGTGGCCCAGGCGTCTTTAATTCAAACCGTAACCGCATTTCGAAAATTTGAATTCATCTCTCCGCAGCTCGCAACCCCTGTTGTTTAACGGTCTCTCTCCCTACTCCATCTCCGAACCTTAAGTCACTGTGTCTGCGTCTGAAGCGAAATCGATCCTCACCGGACAAGCTATTTCGACTACAGAAATTTCATTTCGGATTCCTCAGCTTGAACTACACAAGGTAAAAATAAAATAAAATAAAATCTGCTTTGTTTTTCTCTTCTGTGTTGATGTACGTTGCTCTTTCTCCCTCGATCGCTGGGAAGTTTTGTTTATTACATAGCCAAGTGATGAAAATTTTGATTCTGAAAGTTCATCGAATTGATCAGAATTTTAGGTTGATTTCATTCCTTCCTTCCTATTTCTCTTAATTTGACTAGTAAATGTTTGTATTAATTTCAAACTTGAGTATATGACAAAGGTTTAGCTGATTGTATGAACATGCTGTGTTTTAAAATTTAATATTAGGATTTCAGGAAGTTAAGCTGACAGGTACGCTGTTTCTGGGTATAGATATAATGGCGGCAGATATGGCTAGCCTTAAGGCATCCCAAACGGAGAACATTTCGACTCCGGAAAGACTCCAAACCTCACAATCTTGCTTAATATCTAAGGTGAAAGTCATTGTAAGAGTTCGCCCCTTTCTTCCTCAAGAAATCTCGGCCAGAAATGGGAACTCAGTCTCTTGCGCATCGGTACTTCACTCTGATTCTGAAACTTCCGATGAAGTCACCGTTCATCTCAAAGATTATGAAACTAGGTACTTTGTTTTGGTCTTTGGGGGCAATTAAATTGTTACTAAAATAGCAAAATGTCTACTTAAGAGTACTTGTAAATTTCTGATTTATGGTCTCATGTCTTTTGCTTGCTTATTGCCTAGCCGAAAGGAATTTTACAAGTTGGATGGTTTTTATGGGCATGATGACAACAATGTCGGTCAAATTTTTCACAAGGAAGTTAGCCATTTGATCCCAGGGGTGTTCCGTGGCTACAATGCAACCGTATTTGCATATGGGGCAACTGGGAGTGGAAAAACTTACACCATGCAGGTATCATTTTCATTGCTTCTGTAAACTCAAATTTCCTTCATTTCCATTAGTGAAACTGTATTGAAGTAGAATATGCATTGGCAACTGAAAATATTTGAGAATAAAGCTAAATAAACGCAGCTTTAAAAATTTATGAATGCATGAGAGGTCTTATTGAGCAAACATGTTCAGAACTCAACTAGAAATTGGCTTACCATTCTGCAGAATAAAAGACTCCCCTTGAAGTTGTTTATGAAATTTCATCTTGTCTGTGCTCTATGTATTTGTCACTCCATAGTGCCCACAAAGAAGCATAGCAAGTATCAAACCTGTGAACAGGGACATTCCTTATTCTTTTAAGTTGGGTACCTTAGCATGTAAAATGACATTTTTTTAATACATAGTCACTTATGCTTCAGTTTCAGAGCATTACTTATTCTTTTTGAGTTGGGTTCCTTAGATGTAGAATGGCATTTTAAAAATACATATTCTCGTGCACTTTAGTTTCTTTTTGCCCTTCTCAAATATACATGAAAGCTTACAGCAAAAATAAACGATTCTTGATTTTCTTGTACAGGGAAGTGCTGAGATACCTGGTCTAATGCCACTTGCAATGTCATCCATCCTTTCAATTTGTCAAAGCACTGGAAGTACTGTGGCCATCTCTTACTATGAGATTTATATGGATAAATGCTATGATTTGCTAGAACTGAAAAATAAGGAAGTTGCTATATTGGATGATAAAGATGGGCAGATTCATCTGAAGGGACTTGCACAAGTTGGAGTTAACTCAATGTCAGGCTTTCATGAGATTTTCTCTGCTGCAATTCAGAGAAGAAAAGTTGCCCAGACAAGTCTTAATGATCTCTCTAGTCGGAGCCATGGCGTGCTTGTCATATCTGTTTCCACACCTTGTCATGAAACCTCAGGGAATGTTATCACTGGGAAGCTGAATCTCATTGATTTAGCAGGTACTTCAGATGATTAACATTGGTAGACATGACTGGATGCATACAATGTTTTTATGTACAAGATTACTGATGTATTCTGTACTTTTATCTGGTCTAATTAGGAAATGAAGACAACAGGAGGACTTGCAATGAAGGAATTCGTCTCCAGGAGAGTGCCAAGATCAACCAGTCCCTTTTTGCATTGTCAAATGTGATCTACGCATTGAATAACAACCAATTGCGAGTACCTTATAGGGAAAGCAAATTGACACGTGTACTGCAGGATTCCCTTGGAGGAACAAGCCGTGCTTTGATGATTGCTTGTTTGGTAAGTAGTTCTCATCTTGTAATTTTATCACTGTTCTGAATATGAGAATATGAAACTGAAACTTTCACTAAATTTAGTAAATTTGTTCCTTTATCACCATCTAGAACCCTGGAGAGTACCAGGAATCTGTTCATACAGTCAGTTTAGCAGCGAGGTCAAGGCACATTTCTAACTTTTTATCATCAGCTAAAAAAGAAAATACTCCAAAAGTTAAAGTTGACATGGAAGCAAAGCTTCGTGCTTGGCTGGAATCTAAAGGCAAGACAAAAAGCACACAAAGGCCAAAGGTGGTTTCTTCTCCATTTACTAGTAAAACTCCAAGTTCACTGTGCTCAGTCAAAAAAGTTAATATGTGTCCAAGTTCAGTTAAAGCAAAATTGTTTAGCAACCAAGGTGCTTCAGGTTTAAAGCAGAGGTAAGGGATGCATGCATTAACTGGGTTACCCACCTTAAGGTTTCTACTGCTATCACTATTTAATTCATTTCATTTTGCAGGGCTCCCGATGTTCCTTTTAGAAGCTTATTCGGTAGTAGACATGATTTTATCTCTGTTCTAGAGGTGAGCTGAAACATTTTTTAGCATTCATGGTTATTTTCCCACATATGGGTAATTTTTTATGATGTTATTTTTACAAAGATCCTTATGATGTATCAAATAACAGAAGGGTTCACAAATTCTAATGTAGACAATACTATATGTTGCTATGTACACGGGCATCTTTTGAGTGAAATTCTTTGATTGTTAAGAGATGCACTTCAGAGTTCAGATTCTCCTGTTGTTTTACTATGCATTAGTGATGATACACTGACATTTAGTAGTTTATTTAACGGTCCTTTTATTTGTTCAAAGTGCAAATTTTCCCCATTTAAGCTGGTTCCACACTTAAAAAAACAAAGCTGAAGAAACTTTGGATGTTTGCATTTGCAGGCACTAGACCATGTTAATGGTACAAATTTGGAAACAAAGCTTGAGGTTTCAGAAGAAAGAGACAAAGAGTCTAATAATTGTAAATCTGATGCCATTCTGCTGCATGATTAAATTTATTTAGTTTGATTCATTTTTCCCCAAATCAAGTGTATTATATAATATATACACAAATTCTGAATATTGTGTAGATAATCAAGTGGTAAGGGAGGAGAAAAATGCAAATGTTGAATCTGTCAACCCTGTAAGATCATCACCCGCTACTAAGAAAACTAATGCATTTCAAAGTCCACCCAGGAAAGCCCTTTCTCCAATTATCACCAACATAAACATTGAGAATGTTTCAGAAAAGGAGAAGAGACATATATTCCTGTCTGATCCAGATAACATTGCTGATAATACATTTCAAGTGCTAGGAACACCACTTGATAAACTTCATACGAGGAGTTCCAATCTGAAGGTATACAGCCAAGCTTATTTTCATGAACCCGTTGTTGTTGCTCCATTTGGTTCTGATTCCCGATGTGTATCAATATGCAGAGCTCTCTTGCCCAGGAATATATTGAATTTCTGAACGCAGCCAACAGGTAAGTAGTTTGTCAGCTGTTTTTTTTTTTTTTTCCTGCCTTCATTCGTGCTTAGAGACATTACATTTTTTTTTTCTTACTTTTTGGCAGGGAGGAACTGCTGGAGATAAGGGTAAGCAATGGATCAATTATAATAACGGTCACAATTGTCTTGTCAATAAGTTGATTTCCAATTTTGTTTTTTTGTTTTTTGTTATTACACAGGGTATAGGACAGAAACTTGCTGACTACATTATTGAACTAAGGGAGGAAAGCCCCTTGAAATCGGTAAGACCCTCTTCCAAAGCAAATACACTGTTTTGAACTCTTCTAAGCACCCTGATCCGTGCTGAAATTATAGCGTTATGTTCTCTTGCAGCTTAATGATTTAGAGAAGTTGGGCCTTTCGTCAAAACAGGTAAGTTTGTTAACTTGCTATCAACATTCAGCTCTGCATATCTTGATCGCGGCCATGAAATGATACTTGATCTTACATGGATCATGTCTGTGTAACTTGCAGGTGCAAAACCTGTTTGGTAAAGCTGCGAAGATCTTATTTGAATAGACCTGTGTACCAACACCTTGTTGTGTCGTAATGATCTAGGATTATTTGTATCATATCAGTTGGGCTAATACTCATATCTGCTGAGTGCTTGGCCAATTTGTGTCTGTATGACTGAAATGTATGTTAATTGAATGAGGTGTGAGGAAACTAGGAAACACAGTAATCTAACTAATGTAGCATTGTTGGCTTGTGTGTGCAGCCATTGGATAATTGTTTGATTTGTTTCTGATAAACCTGTGCTATAGAAGTCTTTGTAGTTTGTACTTTATTTTATTTCTTCATGTATTTTAAGTGATCCAACTAGGAAATATTAGAAAATGCTTGTTTAGTATGCAATATTTTATTTGGATTGGAATCGAGTTATAAATTTATTAAATTGAAAATTTGTTAACTTTGTTTAAAGAGAAAACTGAATAATTTTGCAAGCTTGGTCCAATTGTAGAGGATTTACTTGGTTGTGCCAAGCAACAATGGTGAACCATTATGCCATGTGCTATCTAAGAGCAGCATCCAAAATCTAGCTAATATCTTGAACGACTTTGCAACAGAACTTGAGTTGAACTTTACTAATTATGTACGAAATTTCATGCCCACAAATGTCATGCTATTATCAATTGTGAATCTAAAATTTAAATTTCACTTTGAATGAATTGAGTGGTACAAACTTTGTAGTGTTAGGATGGATACGGTTTACAACACTAAATTACAATAACAACTTGCACTGAAAATATTGAGAATATTTCTAATGTAAGATTTAAAATAAACATACACAGAATAAGACAATTTGAAGAAGAATTTTTTGTATTGACAAAATGATATGACAATAGGAATTACAAATATAACTCTATATTTTTACTCCATGTATTTTGCTATGTTAAGAATGGATCGAATAGGATGATCTAAATGAATGAAGAGATGTTGCCTATTTATAGAACCCATGTGCCTAGAGATTTCCAAGCTAGCAACTCATGTGCCTAAGATTTCCAAGCATTTAATGCAACATTAAATGCAATTATTCTCCAGCAAGAAAAAACTTTAGCCCAAGCTTTTCCCTTTACACAAACCTCTACCCAAGGTTTTCCCTTGCCCAAGCATTTCCCTTTCTCAAACCTATGCCCAAGCAAACCTCATCCCAAGCATTTACTCCTCCAAACCTTAGCCCAAGGTTTTGCTACTCTAAACCTAGGGATGACAATTTCAATCCGTCCCGCGGATATCTACCCCACGTGTGTCGGGTATTTTTGGGTGGTAGTGTGTGATGGGTTGGGTGTGGGTTTTAAAAAAGTAAACTCACGGTGAGTTGAGTTGGATTCGGGTTCTATGTACAAAACCCGCCTAGGACCCCACCCGACCCATAATGTAGTTATTTATAATAGTTTCTATAACTTTATGTAAATTTTTACTATTTTTATATTTAAACTATTAAATTTATTTTTAAAAATTAACAATTTAGTTATTATATTTAAATATTTATATTGTTTTATGTTTTCGTATAATTAATAAATTTTATTATTTTATTATGTGTAAGTAATTTAAATATTACTCCGTATTATTTTTTAAATAATAAGATTATAAGTGGTGGGTACCCGTAGTGGGCACCCACACCTGAAGGGGGTGGGGGTGAGTTTTGAAAAAGTCTATCCGATGCGGGTTGGGGGTGAGGGTGAATGGAGAAAATATAAGGTGGGTCGGGTGATGGATGCCAGCCCTCCCCGACCCACACCCGAACCACTGTCATCCCTATCTAAACCTCTTCCCATTTCCACATTTTAACTTTATTATTTACATGTAGCTTTGTAAAATAAGAAAAAAAATCAAATTCGACCTATTTTTAACATATCTTAACATTACATATCAATGTTTATGTCCCTTCCGTTCGAGTCTCTTTCCATACTTTCCCAAGTTTCATAATATGTTGAAGCATTGATGTCATTGTCACTCAAGTAAAGTTATCTCTAACACCACCGTCTTCCCAAACTAACAAACATACAAAATACTGGTAATCAAACATCAGTATTAGTAATCATTTCAATTTCACCTTACTACTAAACATACAAAATACTTTCACCAAAATCTATTACCATTACCGATACCAAGTATTTGATTCTCATTCCAATTCCAATTCCTCTGTGCGAACCAAACACGCCCTTAGATGGTAAATAGTAAGTTACAATTCACAAATTAGTATTTACAATTCACAAATTAGTATTCCAAAAGGCTGAACCCCAACCCTAAGGGGCCCCCGACAGAGCGGTGGGAGGTTGTAAATCATGGTGACTCAACTGAGGTGGGAGGTTGTAAATCATGGTGACTCAACTGAACATTAAGGGCCCCCCCGACAGAGCGGTGGGAGGTTGTAAATCATGGTGACTCAACTAAACATTAAGGGCCCCCCCGACAGAGCGTTGGGAGGTTGTAAATCATGGTGACTCAACTGAACATTAAGGGCCCCCCCGACAGAGCGGTGGGAGGTTGTAAATCATGGTGACTCAACTGAACCCTCACTGCGCACAAGGAGCCCCCCTCACTTTGAGAGGTTGCTCCCACACTGCCGCTGGTGAGACTCGATCCCTGGTCATTATTCCAAAGTTTCACCTCTATGACCAGTTGAGCTACCCATGCGGGCACAATTCACAAATCATAAATATGCAAACGGGAGGTTAATATAATTTTATAAGAAATACATGCCACAAACACGAAAAAAAAAAAGAATGGGAAAAGGGCCAAACAACAAAAAAAGGAAAATACAAGACAAGAAGTAATCTTAACACATAAACCCTAAACCCTACTAATATCCTTCGCTGCTGAAACGAGATTCAACCCAGAAGATTCTGTTTTCCCGCCGGAGATACGCCAGTTAGCGTTTCTGCAGGCTCTCCGGGGAACTGCGGAAGGTAGAGGAAAGAAGATGGGTTCCGTAACATTGAAGAAGAATTACAAGTGCGTTCAGTCCCTGCAGCAATTCTATTCCGGAGGTCCTTACGTTGTTTCGTCCGACGGGTCTTTCCTCGTCTGCGCCTGCGATGAAACCATTAAAATTGTCGATGCTTCGAATGCGTCGATAAAGTCTACAATCGAGGGCGACTCGGAGCCGGTCACGGCTCTCGCTCTCAGCCCTAACAACAGCCTGCTCTTCTCGGCCAGTCATAGCCGTCAGATTAGAGTCTGGGACCTATCTACCCTAAAATGCCTTCGTTCCTGGAAGGTATTTCTTCACACCATGGTTTCCAGTTCCATTTCTCCCCTTTTTTCTGCAATGCCTTTGTTCTGTTTTGAGTTTTTTAATTTTAGTGTGTAATCAACATGGCATTGTGGACAGGCACATGAGGGACCTGTGATGGGATTAGCTTGCGATGCGTCGGGTGGGCTGCTGGCAACAGCAGGGGCGGATAGGAAAGTGCAAGTGTGGGATGTGGATGGAGGATTCTGTACTCACTATTTCAAAGGCCACAAAGGAGTTGTGACTAGCATTATGTTTCATCCTGACCCAAATCGTCTAATTGTGAGTTCATGTTTCTGATTTCTTGATGGGTATATTAACTGAGGGCTTTCCTTGTATATATATTTCTGAAATCAGGAATTAATATATATTTGGTGATCTTTTCCTGTTTACTATGCTTCAAACTTTCCCCTATTTCCTCTAAATGATGATTAACCTTACTAATTATTTATGCATTTGAATTTTTGGCTGCTAGTGCCTAGTGGAATATGTTCACTGCTGGGTTGGGTGTTGAGCAACACCCTAGATTTATTGACGCTCATCAGTTTTCACTTTCATCTTTATATTTTACTTATAAGGTTATTGCTTCTGTATTCCTTGTAGCTTTTCACTGGGAGTGATGATTCCACAGTTCGAGTCTGGGATCTAACAAGCAAGAAGTGTTTGGCGACACTAGAAAAACACCAATCAATGGTCACTTCTGTCGCAGTATCTGAAGATGGATGGACCTTGATTAGTGCAGGGAGGGATAAGGCATGTTTTAATCTTTCCTCCACTCCCTTAGTTTTTTTTGCATAATGCTATATTGATTTTCCTTTGGATTAAGGTATAGTGGTATATTGTATGTATGATTTTGCATGTTCCTCTTTCTATTCATAAGTATGATCCTAAGATGAGCAAGAGAAACTGTCCAGTTTAATTATACAAACCGCCACATGTGCAATATAACTGTAATTTATTCTTGCTTAGGCTCTAGGATCCATTCTTTCCTATGAAGGAAATGAAATTTATGATAATTTATTCAATTCATTAATGTGCCCTTCCCATGGATTTGAACTAATTTAATTGCATGTCTAAATTCTTGGACCTTTTTCTTGCCTTCACTGCTTCTTGTTGGGCATAAATTCTTATACCAGTGGAGTTGCTGATGTTCAGATAAATTTCAGGTTGTGAATTTGTGGAATTTGCATGACTTTAGCTGCATGATCACAATCCCAATATTTGAGGCAGTAGAAGCTGTGTGCATAATTGGGTCTGACTCTCGCTTCAATGCATGCATTGCTTCTTCTTCGGATCAACATGGAAAGAAGAGAAATGATATACCATCGATTAATTTTATCACTGTTGGTGAACGAGGGGTGGTGAGGATATGGAAGTCAGATAGGTATCTTTCATTGATTGGAACTGATTGCAATGCTCTTATTACGCTACTTTATATCTTTCTGGTTTTTAGTAGCATCCTTTCTTCCACTTCCCACTAAAATGTTTCTTTGTATAATATACTTCTCATAGAGCAATGTGTAAAACGATAAGTAACACCCTACTTTGTGAGTTAAACATGCATACTTTGTAGTTCATAAACCTTTGAACCGAATCATATATTGGTTTATTAGCATTGTTTCCTCACACTATAAATCCTGGGTTAACTGACTTTCAACTGTATTTCCAACAGAGCTCTTTGTATTTTTGAGCAAAAACAGTCTGATGTTACTGTCAGTTCTGAAAGAGAAGATACCCAAAGAGGGTTTACTTCTGCTGTCATTTTGCCAACAAGTCAAGAGTTGCTTTGTGCCACAGCTGATCAGCAGTTTCTTATTTATTCTCCCAAGGAATCTGATGGTATACTAGGATTAGTTCTGACGAAAAGGCTTGTTGGATACAATGAAGAGATTGCAGATATGAAATTCTTAGGGGAGGATGAACAGTTCCTTGCTGTTGCCACAAGTGTTGAGCAGGTGAGATTTTCTAATGAGTTTCTTGATCTAAATTCTTTCAAGCTCTGTCATGCTGCATTGTCTCTGCATGGTCCTTGCTTTCAATCTAGGGTCCATGTATGCTAATTTTAAGGTTTTGAGGACAAAGTGCGGATATATAATCTGTTTTAAAAAATAAAATTGTTTATTGACATCTGCCTACAATCATGATATGTCATCTACTGATCACTATAGGATCATCGAGAGACTAGAAATCTACTAAAATATTATTCTTTATAGTTCTTAAAATGTATTACCTTGAATTAAAGTCAGCAGGCTTGCTTTGAGTTATTTTGAGCCTAACCTTTAGGGATTAGCATCTAAAGGACTGCATGTATGCTGATCTGAGTGTATAATCTTATATCAATTATTTAAAATTCTTAAGATTTATAACATGAAATAATGTCTGCATTTTATACTTAGCTCTTTTGAGTATAGCTTTTGTGGACTTATATCTAAAAACTGTATGTACATAGGTCCGAGTGTATGATCTTACAACAATGTCGTGTGCCTATGTGTTGGCTGGTCACACTGAAATCGTTCTGTGCCTTGATACCTGTGTATCAACTTCTGAAAGACCACTAATTGTTACTGGGAGCAAGGACAACAGTGTAAGTTTATCATGTCACTTTTATTCAGGCACCACTTTATTGCTACTATAACCCTCTATCATCTTTTTTTTTTTTGGGTGGTTCATTGTGAGGAAATATTCTTATCTTCAAGCTTCTGTAAGCCTTATTCCGTTGTTTTCATAGGTTAGGTTGTGGGATTCCCAGACCAAACATTGCATTGGAGTCGGTGTAGGGCATATGGGAGCTGTTGGTGCTGTTGCTTTTTCAAAGAAACATCATAACTTCTTTGTGAGTGGTAGTAGGTAAGTGTCACACCAGAAATTACCGTACTATAAGTCTATATCATCCTTTGGTATATTTATTTAATCACACATTTGATACTGAATTAATAGCCTTAACATTCTAAATCACACAGTTATGTTCCTTGCCTACTATTCTTTGTAAAAGAGTTAATTGAATGATAAAGATGTTACCTAGGTTTTCATCTCAATACCCACCCTGTTTTCATCTTATATTTTCTTTCAATGTTGTGAAGACTTTTGTTTTGTTTTTTTTGTTTTTTTCTTTTTTCCTCCAGATATTTGGCATATAGCTACTGATTTAGGTGTTTATATAAAAAAGGTTTTTTTTTTTTTTTTTTTTTTTTTTCAAATCTTTCAGTCCTATATTTCTTTCTACTTTTGAGAGTTCGCCATTTCCAATCACTGTTCTGTTATCCTCTTTCTTTTTGGAAGCTTAGTATTCGGTATTTCACTATTTTTAATGGATTTATAGTGCTCCTTTGACCAAATAGACAGAATCAATGTTTCACTCTTTTGCTACTTTAAAAGCACTGTAATTGACTCATGGTGTTTTTGTGTCTGTGCAGTGATCGTACGTTGAAAGTATGGAGTCTAGATGGTCTCCTGAATGACACTGAAGAAGTTTTTAATTTGAAAGCAAAAGCAACTGTAGCAGCACATGACAAGGATATTAACTCTCTGGCAGTTGCACCGAATGATAGTCTTGTTTGTAGTGGTTCTCAGGTACGAAGCTACTTTTCAACATTTAGAATCTCACATACTTCTATTGGAGTCTGGTTGTCATCTCACAATTTTCTTTCATTATCTCTCTTTCAATTACAAGGACCGCACTGCTTGCATTTGGAGGCTTCCTGATCTAGTGTCTGTGGTCACACTCAGAGGGCATAAAAGAGGGATTTGGTCTGTGGAGTTTTCTCCAGTTGATCAATGTGTGATTACGGCATCTGGAGATAAGACCATAAAGATATGGTCTATATCTGATGGTTCGTGTTTGAAAACATTTGAAGGGCACACATCAAGTGTAATTCGAGCATCATTTGTTACACGCGGCACTCAGTTTGTTTCTTGTGGTAAATTGGAATCCTGAAATCTAGGCTTTTTCTAGTTGTGACCTGCTTTTAGCCTGTTACTAAAAGTGAAACCATCTTTCTTTTAGGTGCTGATGGTTTAGTGAAGCTGTGGACAGTCAAGACCAATGAGTGTATTGCAACATATGACCAACATGAAGACAAGGTGCTAAGTTTCTTGCAGTTTTTCTTCTTGTGCTTAAGGAAGCCTATATGTATTGATTTGATGAGGACAAGATAATCCATGTTTATGAGATTACTGATAGTAGTGCCCATCCATTGATGTCTACATGATGCCATGGCTGCTTAACATGCTTAGACTTCTTTTATGAGCTTATGGCATATTTTCATTTTCTTTTCAATATCGGATAGTATGTTCCAACTTTTTTGCAGTCATATTTGCAAAGGATGCAATAGTCTTAATTCCCTGAACTGTTTGACTTCAGATTTGGACTTTAGCTATTGGGAAGAAGACAGAAATGCTTGCAACTGGTGGCAGTGATGCAGTTATCAATTTATGGCATGACTCTACAGCTTCAGATAAAGAGGAAGCTTTTCGTAGAGAAGTGAGATATTTATCTGTTTGTTTCTTTTATATTGAAACAGTCCTCATGCTGTATGAAGCATCAAGTTATTGGGTTACAGCGTCCTAACAGCATTACTGTGCTGCTGATGCAGGAGGAAGGTGTTTTGAGAGGACAGGAGCTAGAGAATGCTGTATTGGATGAAGATTACACTAGAGCAATCCAGATTGCTTTTGAGCTTCGCAGACCTCGTAAGCTTTTTGAGCTATTTGGTCAACTCTGCAGGTAGGCATGGCTACTGGTCTTCTGTTCTTTTTTCCTCTCTTGTTTTCATATGCTGGTGGTAAATGGTAATGTTGTCACAATGTCATCCCCTTCGTCTTCTTTGTAACGGTAATTTCAATGCAGAAAGGAAGAGCCTAGAGTTCACTTGGGGAAAGCTTTACATGCTTTTGGCAAGGAAGAGTTTTGCTTGCTTTTGGAATATATCCGAGAATGGAATACAAAACCAAAATTCTGTCATATAGCACAGTTTGTTCTTTCTACAGTATTCACCATGCTTCCACCAACAGAGATTATTGAGGTTTGAGCCCTCTCCTTTGTTGTTGTAGTTACAGATTTTTGCAGATATTAGTAACAAATTCAATGCCTATGAAAAAAGATTTGATATTTTATTAGTGAATTGGCAGTGAATTAATGAATTGATTACAGTTAAAAAGTGTTTTACTAAATTTGAATAAAGAGTTTAAAGGAAGTTTTGTTCTTTATATGGTGTTCCAGATAAAAGGTATAGGAGAATTGCTCGAAGGCATTATGCCATATTCACAGAGGCATTTCAGCAGGATAGATAGGTTGGAAAGAAGCGCTTACCTATTGGACTATACTCTAACAAGCATGTCGGTCATTGAACCTGGAGCCGGTGTTGGTGGCTTAACATGGAAATCGGAAGAAAAAGATGCCAGAGACACTGTTGAAGCAGCAGATGAAGGGCAACTAGGAGAAGGTGATTTAACAGAGCAAGAGGCCAATCAGGAAGAGATTAAAACCAAGATCTCTTCGAAGAAAAAGAAATCACACAAGTTGAGAGACATTGAACCATCAGAAGGTGATTTAACAGAGCCAGAGCCAAATCAGGAGTTGGAAACCAAGGTCTCTTCAAAGAAAAGGAAATCACACAAGGCGAGAGACATTGAACCATCAGAAGGTGATTTAACCGAGCAAGAGCCAAATCAGGAGTTGGAAACCAAGGTCTCTTCAAAGAAAAGGAAATCACACAAGGCGAGAGACATTGAACCATCAGAAGGTGATTTAACCGAGCAAGAGCCGCCTCAGGAGTTGAAAACCAAGGTCTCTTCGAAGAAAGGGAAATCACACAAGGCGAGAGACATTGTACCATTAGGAACTGATTTAACAGAACAAGAGCCGAAGCAGGAGGAGCTGAAAACTAAGACCTCTTCAAAGAAAAGGAAAGAGGTGATTTAACAGAGCAAGATCCGAACTGGGAGGAGTTGAAAACAAAGACCTTTTCAATGAAAAGGAAATCATAGAAGTTGAATGGCAAATTGGCAAGAAAGCAAAGGGAGAGAGAGAGTAAGTTGTTGGGTTCATCTTTAGCCTTCTGTCTGTCTGTGTAATTATCAAATTTTGTCATGAATGATGAGTGAACACATAACCCCCATTAAGAATTCTCACTAATTTCCTTGTTTGTGTTCCAATTTTTATCTTCAGCACTGCTGTAGATTCAGTCAGTGGTGTTATTAGCATTATGTGTTGCATGCCATGTGACATGGCTTATAATGTTAGTATTTGGGTTTGCTACAAATACATGTCAATTCTAACATGAGCATATATGTTGTTCATTTTTACTGAATTTCACATTTTCATGGTATGAAGATTTACAAACTTGGGACTATGGTATACTGTAAGTAATACTGATTGTACTAACCCAAACCATTGTTGTCTGGAATATAAACTAACATGTTAAAAAAAAAGTGGCTGTCATTAAATTGTATGAACATAGGGAAATATACTTCCCACTCCTACAAAATCTGCTGATAGATGAAGTCAATATACAAGCAGGTCATCATAAAGCAGCTCATCCAAAAGATCATCTAATATGAGGTCTTCCAGCTCAAGTCCAACACACTCTGCTTCAAACTGAAGATTCATCCAATTATCACCCCTAGCCAAATCCCAGCCCACCGGATCCTCAAGCAAATCACTCTGGCGCAGTAACCGCCTGATATTGCCCCACACTTCCTCTAAAACCCCATAACCTACAGGCATTCGTCTGATACAAGACCGGCACGTCAGTGGATTTGGCCAGTACACATACGACTTGTCGTATATTTCTAGCACCGTCTCATTCACTGAACTAAACAGAAGAAGATGATCGTACGCGCCATCATCTTCACTTCCAGTACAGTCTGATTGTGCCATAATGCACTGCTCCACTTCATCAAACACCAGAGGGTTTAATGGCATTTCAGCCGAATGCCATCTCTCTAGGAACTCTCCTCTGCATAATCCCGATTCTTGTAGTATACGTTTTACATAATCGAATGCAGCCCTGTTACTGTCATCAACCTCAATACGCATACACATGTCCTCCCATCCCTTCTCATCGTTTACTGAATCTTCTGCTGTGCTTATATTTTCTGTCTTTGATATGTTTTCTTGGTCAGCAAATGAATCTCCTATATCACAGAATAAAGAAAACAAAAGTAACCCATAAGTGTCGATTTAAGGTTGTCTCTATCAACTTGGCCACACAAGTCAAGCCATAATCTTGATTCTAATTTCTAATGCTTAACGTTTGCTTAGTCATATGATACAAATACACACAAAAGTAGTCAGACATGAAGGCATGACATATAACAAATTCCTTAGTTTTTGCAAAATACCTTCATCCATAGAGAACTCTGCTGGTTCTGTTGTGAACTGGAGATCTATTTCAGGAGCCGATATTTGTGTTGGTTTGTCAAGTACTGAATCAGAAGATGAAGTGCGCTTGATGTTGTTGCTATAGGGGGCAGGGCTCTCGTGAGTTTGTAAGCCACTAAAGTCATCATAATCACTTTGAATTTCCAGATGCTTTTGGTCACCGGAGATACTCAAGGTGTGTCCTGCAGCAGTACTGAATGGCGTGTTAGAAGAACTAGCATATAGACAATCCTCATTTGAACCATAACACCTCAGATCAGGCAACGAAAGAATCCTGCCGAGGGTTTTGGGGCCAGCACTAGAAGAGGAAGGCGTTCCTAATGCTCCATAGCTCTGCCTCTCGGAGGTATGGTGTTTTACTTTTTGTTTGAAACAGGATTCGAGCAACCGATTATAGCGGTCTGCAAAGTCATTGCAAGACACGGTTCGTTTCATGTATCGTGCATCGGTCTTTCCAAATGGAGAAGTACTACTGGAACTCCTCCGGAGGGACCTTCTGTATTTCGTGTCCAACTCTTCTTTTTTATCGTGTCCGTGGGGGACTTTATCAAGAACTGCATCCATGACAATCCTATGCTTCTCCTTTTTGCTCTCCCTTATTGCATGCCTTATTTTATCCCTTAGGTTCCTGAAACTTTTTTTACCTTGTTTACTATCATGCTTGTTCTTATGCTCCCCACTTAAATCTGGAGGGACATTGTCAAAGAACTCGGGATTTGTCAAAAGACGTTTTGTAACACTACCTTCCCTGCACAGCTCGGGTGAGGGTGCAGGCCTTTCTGCTTTTGCATAATGCTCGATTTCTTTAACAATAAACGCCTCTCTTAGGAACGAGCCAGCAGAAGGAAACGACACCGACTTGGTTAGTCCTACTGGCTTTTTCGACCCCTGGGTGCTATGCAATTGATGCCCAAACGCTGAACCCCGGTAATGTAAGAATTTGAGGAATACCTCCTTTTTCATGTCTAATTGATCAAGAGCACCCGGGAATCGCTTTGACTCTGGCTTGGCCATACTTGGCAGGACCGGGTCCGATAAGCTAGTGGCAGAACAATGGGCACTACTAGTGCGATTATGCTTAGAAGTTTTGTCAGCTAAAGAAATATCATTGTCAGGAAGATCTACACTTGAAGGAGCTCGACGATGGATGGAATTTGTTCGGGCTAGTGGTGAGTGTGTTGGGCTTGGGCACGATGAGGTTCGATTGTGTTGGCCCCTTCTTTTATACACTTCGTCCACGATTAAAGCTTTCAATCGAGATCTCATGGACTTAGAAACCGAACCAGACGAGTCCCCAGCTTTCCCTGCAGCCTGAAACTCATCATATATAGTTAAGATCACATCTCATATAATTGAAGCATGTGCTCCATCTCAACTAAAAGCTTAAGCTGATAGTTGGATTTGCACATTAATGATTATATGCTCAACACATATAATTGGAAACAACACAGTACAGTTAGCACAAACTTACAGAATTCTCGGTTTTGGCATCTATGTTTCCTTGAATTTCACCTCCACCCGGAGCAGTTTCTTTACTCCCTTGATCTCCAACCACCACAAAAATAATACATACACTTTCAGAACCATCGATCTCGAAATGTTAATTAAATGATGAGGAAAGTGATAGAAGCAATGGTAGTTCTAACCAGAGTCATTTTTCGAACTGCCAAACCTTCTGCTAGGCAACCGTTTCTTGACATTAAGCCATTTAGTGCGGTGGAAGTGATGTAATATTCCCCACATGCATCCTGGTTGAGGATTATCCAGAGAAATTCCGCTTTCTTGGTGCTGCAAATCCTTTCCCATCTTCTGCAATACAATGCTTCCCTAAGCTGTCACAACATAATAAAATAGTTCAAGTACAAAATTTGAGGTATTAAAATTTGATGTTACAAGAAATTATGAGTTATGACAATCTAAGGTTAAGGATTTGTTGGCGAAAACATTGAAGGAACGCGAACAACAAGAAGTCAAGAAGGATTGGGTTATGCCCGAAATCCTGTATTTAAAAACTGGAAAAGAAATTTGGGATAATCCGTGCGTTCCTTCAAATCCAAATACAATCAGACTAACTAACGAAAACGGGAAATTTTTTAATGATTCTGTGGGATAAACTAAATAGCAATATTAACATAGGCAGGAACACGGCATCTTTCTGTGTATGTTTCATTTCTAATTCCTAAGTTTTGCGGCGAAAAGCAAAAGTTAACAATCTGAAATCATGGAAATTCAAGAATGGGTTTTGTATGTAATGTGATGACCATCGTACCTGGTGGTCTGCTGCCATGGAGAGAGAGAGAGAGAGATAGAGATTGGGGTTGAGGGAAGAGAAGAGAAGAGAAGAGAAGAGACGAGACGAGACACGGCTAAGACAGAGATTTTCTCTCCTCCGATGTTTTGGTCGGTTTCTCTCTCCTCTGTTGCTCTCTACTTTTGGCGCCATATTCATCCGCCAACTGCTCGCCATCTCACGCTTCTGTGAGTCTTTTGTCCAGGTGGTAGTCTATATACATTCCATTCAAATTTTTAGAGGTAAAAATACAATTTAGAGTTCTCTCATTATAATACTTTGGAATAAGGATCAAATAAGCCAATCAATCAAAGTGTAATTAAGTTATCAATTCAAAAAAAAAAAAATACAATTAGATTCTTGAACAACACAAATTTATGCAATTAGGTCTAAAATAACCTGTTTACCTACTGTGGAGGTTTTGAATTTTAAAATGATGTTAAATAAAATAATTAATTAAAAATAAAAAAATCAAAAAAACAAAAAAAAAACAAAACAAAACAGCACGATCGTTTTCAACCGGCGAACTTCGTCTCCCTGGCATGGCAGGAGATGAAGCCCTTCGTCTCCCGATGGCCGGAGACGTCTCTAGTCTAGGGAGACGATTCGTCTCCATGGCCGTCATGTCAGCAAAGTTTAAAGTAAATAAGTCATTTTAGACCTAATTCTATTAATTTGTGTTGTTCAGGAATTTGATTACATTTTTTTTTTAGTTTGATGGTCTAATTGCACTTTAGTGTACAGTTGAGTGGCCTATTTAACCCTTATTCATAATAGTTTTGTCACGTTTTATCCTACACTTTTAAATTCACTATCCATGGTCCTTCAATTTTCAAATTATACCATTTGTAATTTAAATTAATTACACATAATTTTTTAACTGTCAAATTTTAACCACCCATGTTCCTTCAACTATAAAATTTTAATCCATAGTTGTAATTTTAGAATTTGATTGTTTAACCTTTAACTACTCTCTCCCTCTCTCGCTGAGGTCTGGACTAGTCTCTCTCTCTCTCTGCCGGTGGAGCAATGACGGCCGACGGCTGCTTCAACGACTGACGGAATCGACTGCGTGGTGACTCTCTCTTTTTGCTGCTTGACCTCGGTGACGGACGAAGGAGTGACGGCTGGCAGTGACACAAAATTTCAGATTAATTTCTGCTTGGCTATAGGTAATAATTGATTAGTTTCAGAATGTATTTGAGATTTTCGGATTTAGTGATGTTTTTCAGATTGTATGAGAGATTTATTAATTTCTGATTGTATGTTGATTTATTGATGCTTTACTTGAAAGTTTCTGATTCCCCGTCCAGATTGTGATTGTTGTTGAAAATTGAAATTGATTTTGAGATTGTGTGTCGGCAGTGTTTATGTAATATGTTGCTATATTTCAGATCAATTTCGATATGCCAGCTTGTTTATACATAATATACCTATAGGTTATTTCTTGGTGGGTAATTCATGCGTTTCTGTAATTAACAGTTGGAGTAGAGGACTCGGAATGTGCATATTTGCTTCAGCTGCTGAACATCATAGTGAGGTTATGCTTCGTGTTTCAAATATGCTGAATGATATTTGCTTGAGAATGCTCTCTGGTGGCTGTGAACTTGACCATTCCTGGGTAACTTTCTTGAGTACAGTCATCCCATACAATAACCCAGAATATAGGAGTGACTAATGGTAATCGATATTTCTTACCATTTTACTTCATCTATTGATATCTTCATGAATTTTTCTAAGCTGCTTAAGAGGGCTTTATGCCAGATCTTTTTATTTATGTTGATTTTTGAATGTGTAATGTGTTGCTGTTTGCTACTAAAGTGCTAAGAGAGCGTCTAAAAGAGTAACAACCGTTATACTGTGGGTTATGGTCCATATTGCAAAATAGATCACTGACATACAAGTTTATTTTTAGTATGCCATAAATTCACTTTTACCGTACTATTGTAGAAACTAAAAATGAACATACAATATACTAAAAATTAACATGTATCAGTCATCCACAGTATAATTTGCCAAAGAGTGAAAGGAAAGGTTTTAAGTGCAGACGTATTGGGTGTTTAGCCTGGAAGTGATAGAGGCAGGGCTTAGTATAAACATATGTAGGTGGCCAGGAAGTGATATATGCAGGGCTTTGTAATCAACAGAAAAACACATTCCTAATTACATACAATACCTTTTAAGTCTTTTAATTCTTAAAAATGGGTTGACGGGTTGATCTATTTACCTTGGCTCATTTACAAGCGGGCTAACTTGATAGGCTTAGGCTGTCCTGTTTTGACAACTTTGTCTGGTCTAGTATATATATACAAACAGGAGTAGTAGGGACAATTGTCTTAAAAATGTGAATACACAATTATAAACACCATGAGGTATAAAAATAGATGGCTTATTGGTACAAAAAACTCGAACCCAATTATATAAAAACTTTTAAAATTTGGTAAAAGAAACTGAAATATTTGTGTTTTGTGACAATTATATCAAATTATAATATCTAATCATAAAAATAATTTAATTATCTTAATTTAGGTATTAATGGGTAGCTATCATATTGACCATGTAAATTTTTTAGCAGTTTAGTTTTGAACTTTTAGTGTATTATTTGGATACATTATGGTTTATTTATTTATTTATATAAATGATGTTGTAATTTAAAAAAAAAAATTGTAAGCAAACTTTAAAAATACAGCTTAGATTGGATATTTTCTTGGATTGGAAATTATAATTACAAAATACAAGTCTTTGATTTTAATTTGAAAAAAGTTTAATATAATTATGGTGTATGATAATAATTGTCACAAAATACAAATTTTTGGATTTTTTTTCAGAAGTTTTAGAGGTTTGATTATAATTAAGGTTTGAATTTTTTCAAATCTTGTTGGAATTGAGTCACCTATTGGGAAATCGCAGGTAAAGCCATTGGTACAAGAAAGAATGCTCTCAGGAGCTGCTGTCTCCCTGCTCTCCCTCGTACGTAAACATGAACTCAAACGTACAGCAATCCAACAACTCCACTCTCATTTGATCTTTGCTTCCGTCCACGCTGACTGCACCTCAACGCCGATCGTACTCACTCTTTGGAACTCTGTTCTCCGCCACTACTCCCTCGGTTCCTTCCCCCAAGAAGCTCTTTTCCTATTTCAGCATCTGCAACGCATATTGAGACCCGGGTTCTTCTTTGATAGCTTCGCTTACTCTTTCCTCATTAAAGCTGCTGCTAATCTAACCCAACCCAGTATTGGAAAACAGGTGCATTGCCTGAGCTTTAAATCTGGGTTTCATTCTCATGTTTATGTGCAAACTGCCTTGGTTGATATGTATGTTAACTGTCGGTGTCTTGTGGAATCCAAGAATGTGTTCGACGAAATGCCTAGCAGGAATAGTGTGACTTGGAATGTGTTGATTACTGGGCTTATCAAGTGGGGCGAGCTTGGGTTTGCTCGGGCTGTTTTCAATGCGATGCCGGAGAAGAATGTAGTTTCTTGGACGGGTATTATTGATGGGTACACACGGACGGGGAAATTCAATGAAGCTTTGTTGTTGTTCCGTGAAATGGCGGTGAGTGAGGGGATTAAACCAAGTGAAGTGACTCTTTTGACGATTTTCCCTGCTGTTTGGAACCTTGGGCATCTCAAGTCTTGCCAAATGCTGCACGCTTATGGGGAGAAAAGTGGGATCAACTCTTTCGATATCCGCGTTATGAACTCCCTTGTGGATGCATATTCCAAGTGTGGGAGCATAAACTATGCTTCAAAAGCTTTTGATGATATATCAGATGAAAGGAGGAATTTGGTGTCATGGACATCAATAATATCGGGATTCGCAATGCACGGGATGGCCAAAGAAGCTTCAAATGGTTTTAGGATGATGCAAAATGCAAATGTAAAACCAAATCAGATTACATTCTTAAGTGTACTACATGGTTGTAGCCATGGTGGTTTGGTGGATGAGGGTGTTGAGTTTTTTGGAAAGATGGTTCATGACTTTGGGCTTCAACCAAATATTAAACATTATGGAAGCTTGATAGACATGTTGGGGAGGGCAGGGAGATTGGAAGAAGCAGAAAGGATGGCTTTGGAGATCCCTAATGAGATCTCCAATAATGTTGTGATTTGGAGAACACTATTGGGTGCTTGTAGTTTTCATGGAAATGCAGAGTTGGGACAGAGGGTTATGCAGAAGATTCTGGAGGTGGAGAGAACATATGGTGGTGATTATGTGTTGCTTTCTAATATTTTTGTTGATAATGGTAGGTATATAGATTCTGAGGAGGTTAGGAGATTAATGGATGAAGAAAATGCACAAAAGGTGCCTGCCTTTAGTTTTGCCTAACTGTAAATGAAGGTTCACCTTCTATTGTGGCATACTGCCATTACAAATTGTTTTTCTCTTTTGGGTATTTGATTACCAAGTTCTTTTTTTTTTTCTTTTTTATTTGGAATAAGTTCCCTAAAGAATACAAATGTATGCAATTGAATCTAAAATTACCTATTTACTTGACAATTACCAACGTCACGATAACCAGATTAAAAAAAATTTTATTTTAAAAATTATGGAGTATTTTAATAATTTTAAATAAAATAAATGTTAACCAAAAGAAATAAAACAAAAAACTCACCCCTCTCCGTGTCGGAAACAAAGACAAGTTATTTGTCTCTTGGTCGGAGATGAAGGCGGGAGAGGGGAATTTTTTTGTTTTTGTTTTTTTTTTTTAGAGTTAAAATTTATTATTTTTTTATTTTTTGAAAATAAAATAAACTTTAAGCATGAACTTAACCTAAATTTAGAAATAATGTTTCTATATGAGTCTAAAGGATAATAAAAATTACAATAATCTCACACTCCACAAGAAATTGAGAAATGATACTTGAGAGATTCTAACGCCTAGTAAACTGGGATAGGATTTTCTTTTAAATTTTATTACCAATTACCAAAATTATTAATGATCTAGTTGGGAGGTTAGTGGATAACGAGAAATATCCTTATTTTATGCCAAGAAAGTGTTCAGACTTCAGAGTGAAAGTGGTTTGCTTCTCCCACCTATATTGGACTAGTTCTTTGGGAATTGGGATGAACTCTTCCCTCAAGCTAAGTACCTTCCTATCACAATGTTTCCATATGTATGACATATGAGTGTTTTGTTGTATTAATATCCAATTTAGGCCCTCAACTTTAATGGTCTTACCTAATTGAGACCCTAATTATTAAAATCAATGATTATATTGAAAAAAATCACTATAGTCGAGAATTAAATTGGATAAAATCTCTATAGTCGAAGACTAATTTGGGTAAAACTATTATATTCGAGAACTAAATTGAGTATTAATAGAGGTGAAATTACCAAACTATTTTAACAAATGACTCAATTGAGTAAGACCATCAAAGTCAAGGACCTAATTAAGCACAAAGAGTCGTTTAGGACTAAATCGAAAAAAATAACCCTAGTGTATGACTAAATTGAATATTAACTCGTATTTTGTTTAAACTAGGATTTCAAATTCAAATTCAAATTCAATCACATACATTGTATAAGTGTAAGTATTATTAGTGGATGGACTTTCTATTATGGATAATAATGCATAATAAACTTATATGTATATCATATTTATGTTTGAAGACATTGACAAATGGAAGGTTTATGAAATTATGAGTGTAAGGCATAGGGTGATGGTGAGCCCATTAAAAACGAGGATGTTAATGGTGTATTTCTGAGCCCCGATACACAATACAATAATAACTTATCCATTTAAATTGGTAATGTCACAAAATTCCTGTCTATACCAAATATTCACTTTAAAATATATATATATATATATATATATATATATATATATATATATATATATTCAAGAAGTAATGGTGATGGTGATGAAACTATGGAGGTGTTTGGTAAACGTCTATTAGCTGATTGAGTTAGTGAATTTAACTAGTTGATAATATTAGCTGAATGTAGAAAAGTATTTGGTAAATTAATTAGTTGTTAGCTGATTACATACAAAATGACTTTTTCAAAAAGTTGATCGAAAAAAATTACTTTAAGCAGTTTTTTGAATTTTAGTATTTTAGAGCAATAAGTTGTTACAAAAAACTAATTAATCAAACATTCATATTGATTATTTAACCAAGTTAAATAATTAATAATGATTAAATAAATTAAAATTGACTGATAGGCTAATTATTTTACCAAACAGGACTTATATAATGTTACTATATTTAATTTGTATGCATGGTACTATGGTACACCCATTGAATAGTAGTTTTGACTTTTGATTCATTTCCACTGTATCACTAAAATATGAGCAAATTATATCCTGGACCAGAGTTTACAGTGCACTGCGGACTTTGGTCTAATACACATAATTTGACTTCATAAGATACCAAATTTATGTTCATAATGCACAGAATTCATATTCATAATACACATAAACACGATATAATAAACATGAATTCTATACATTATGAATATGAATTCTGTGTATTATGTTAAGTGTTTATGTGTCTTCAGCTATATAATATACATGATTCATGTTCATAATGCACAAAATTTATATTCATTATATCATGTTTATGCATATGTGAATTATAAACATGAATTTTGTATATTAGACCAGGGATTACAGTGAGTCTACAATGAACTGTGGACCCTGGTCCACGACATAACGATTGTAAAATATGGTAGTTATCACTTCATGCATATTAATTGAGCATGTTCATTCAAAGCCCAACTAACAACATTAGTATCTAGACCAATCAAGATGGGCTTATATTATATTTCATTTTTGGCACATTCCCTTTGTATCAGCAAATTATACCATGGATTAGGACCTATATACATTGCATTGTGGATTATGGTTCAAAATAATCTTCAAATTATATGTTTACTATTGACATATATATTTTGTATTTGTAATTAACCGTTTATGTATTTGTAAATAAATTAAAGGCACATAACATGTTAACTACAGACACATAACATAGTAACTACCGACACATAATATGTTAGCTGCAGACACATAATAAATTGAAAGCACATAACATCTTAACTACATACACACATATAACATGGTAACCACCGACACAATGTATTTTTCAATATGGTAAATATTATGTGTCTGCAGTTAACATATTATATGTCGGTAATTACAACGTTATTTGTCTATAGCTAACATATTATATGCCTTCAATTTATTTACAGACACAAACATTTAACTGCAAATATTGAATATGTCAATTACAAACTTAATTTTTAGATTAAGGCCCACAATGCAAGATGGACCTTGGTCCATGGTATAACAATTTCTTTTGTTTCCAATCATTATATATAGACCATAGTTCAAATTATAGGTGAACTACACTAACATAATGTTCATTTTTAATATATTGAATGTCCATTTTTTATACATTAAATATTCATTATTTGGTAGTATATCAAATAATGAACCTTCAGTATTTAAAAAAATTAACTTTTAATATATAAAAAAAATGAATATTTATCCATTGTTCACATTGCAATGTAAACTATGATCATAATATAATTTGTCATCTGTATCTCTCACGTTTCCATATTCCAGAGCAGATAGACTATTTGATCAATTTCTTCCTGCATGATAATTTTTTGTTTTCTACAATATAATATTTGACTAAAGAAGTGGTTAAATTATGACGTTATATTTGTAGTAAACAGTATTTTTGTACTTGACATTGAAGCACTTAAAATATGTACACAATTTTATAACAATATCTTTACGACAATATTAACACGCTTTATAGTCAATGAGTTCTAGCCTATAGGTTAAACAATTGCATACCCTAACCTTAAGTAGGGGGTTCATTCGATACCATTTTTTAACAGGTGCAAATGTATTTATCCCATTATTTGTATAGTAGGTGTTTTGTCCTGTTAAATTCAAAAGTGATTTTAATTAACTATATGTAGTTGTAACACATAAAGATTGTTATTTTATGATTGCATTCAAGAGGCCCTCACCAAATTAAATTCTGAGATGTATCAATTGGATTCAAGTTCTCATCAATAGACTTATAGACTGTATACTATTGTACACGAGGTCCTCTTCAAATTGTAGGGTATGTTTTTATTTTATTTTAATTTTTTTTGAGTAATTCCACTTTAATTAGGTCCCCGACTATTGCACCTCTCACACATTTTTTATCATTAACTATCCAAATTTTTATATTTGGCGCATGATTATCAATTCTTGTCATATTTGGTTCTTTCGACCAATGTACTCCCACATAATAGTCATGTGCATTTTCGAACACTTTGTGGTCCATTTATGCGTACTTAATGGTGAGTGATCGCGCGGCTGCACCCAAACATGCATGACTGTACTATATATATATATACTTATATAGCAATCACACATCAAGACTAATTTTATTCGTGTCCAATAAGACTTCAAGGGCGACAAAGCATTTCCTCATCAATTTTTAAGGTGACTATATTCTCAGGTTCAAATTGAAAACCTTGATAGTCTAATTAAGTTGATGATGAGTTGATTTACCGTGATTTACTCCTCTACAAACTGTCGGGTCGAGGTGTGGGAGCGCCTGAGATGGGCGATTATATTCCACCTTCTGCATGTCACATGTTTGGAAGAAATTCAAACTATTTTATCTACGTCTTGTCAAAAATTTTATATTGGGAAAGAAGTAAATGGTGATTGGAGGCAAGCTATTGACAGTCAATTTAATGCGTTGCTTAAAAACAACAATCAAACGGCAAGCAAATTGGTTGTATCGAACGCTACAAACACTAACTCGTGGCAACCATAATATTTAATCAAATTGAAGGCGATGATTTTAATGATAAGTTTAGCCAACAATTGTGAGTATCGTGTTGGCTTTATATATATGGAAATATTCACGTGAGAAGAAATTTCGAGGTGAAAAATGGATAAAATTTGAACAGTTAATCTAATCTAGATCAATTGTTCAGAATGAAGAAAAATTTTAAAAAAATAAACTCGCTTCTTAGAATTATGCACCCATATCTTCATTTAATTTTAGTTATACATATTAAGTTCAATGTTAGTTACCTAAAGATTTAAAATTATGCACATGTAGTTCCAAAGGTATGCATCCAAGGGAGTAAAGTTATGCACCTAATTAATGATTAAAATGTATGCACGTTTAGGCTAAACTCTATGCATCCCAATGTGCAAAGTTATGCACCATACAGTGCAAAGATAACATTTTAAAGCCATGTACCCAACGGTCTAAACTTATGTATCTTAAGTTCTGAAGTTATGCACCCAACAGTCTAAATTTATGCACTTTAAGTTCTAAGTTATGCATTCAAAGAAGGAACATGCACTCGAAGAAGGAATAATATATATGCACCCAATGAA